TTTGTACCTCATTGTCAACAAGTTCTGTTTTCTAAGGAATGGATTGGAATTTTTTTTAAAAAGTTTGTTTATATTTAAACGATTTTAGTATCGCGTCTGAACCTCCTGTGTGAATTTGGGCACCTTTAGAAAAGCCACCCTGTTTGTCTCAACAATGGTTACTATGTTTTTATATATATTCTAGAATTAAAATCAAATTAACACTGATGAAGGCAAGTAAGGAGTAACTATCACAAGACCACGTGGCATATAAAAATTATATTATCAAAAATGATGTGTCTCTAACTCTGTTATCGCATAGATTTTATTACAAATAATCTCCTCGCCACCAAGCCATGTGCAACTTCTGTAGGATTGCAAATGAGGCCATAGTACTTACGTAGGACGACTCATTTATGTCTCGTCCTGGGCGCTCCATGTCTCACAGCTCTAATACCGTGAATGTCGTGTCGTGCAAAGCAATGGGCACGCCTCCGCGGTATCAGATGACGAGAGCGAGCCCGACGCCGCGTGTTTACCGCCACCGTCTAATTTATAGGCGGCCGGAGATTACAGCACTTGTTGCGGCTACTACCTCACTACACGCTATCCGCTGCAGCGGCTAGTTTAGGATTTTTGAAGCAATTCACGGGTATAGAAGAGGTGTCGCACGCGTAAGAGACGCTCATATATCCAACGTAATTTTTTAAATGAGTTTACACAGCAGGAATCTACCTAATAGCAAGTTACTAAGTCGCTTATAGCAGATAAACGCTTTAATACTAACAGTGCAATTTCACAACAAATGATAATTTCTCTAGCCAACCTCAAAGTGCTCAAATGAGCTATACAAACTCTATACAAGTATGTTTTAGCGAAAACCCGGTTATATTCAGATGCCTGGGCCTACTGAAGAATGTAACTGTGGTAGGGCCATTTAACAGCTTCGGCTGTTGCACGAATGGGCTCCCAAACCCGTGGGTTCTGGCTAGCCCATCGGTTCTGCGTCAGATGAAGCTTTAATAGTCTCGGGACTGAAAGCAAAAACATCAGTTAATACAAGATACAAGATACGAATGGGCTGGTTCGTCCGGGTAAGTACCTCGACCCCACAGAAAAGTGGAAGTCTTATACTTCTGCGTATCGTCGGGTAAGTGAGGTAACCAGGGACCACTTTATTATAATGTGACAACGAATCTTCAACCCTACGGGTGTTGCGACCATGGATGGCGGTTATCACTTAACATCGGGGGAACCGCCAGCTCACTTGCCACCTTCTCCCAAAAAAAATTGCATACACATGCAAAGAAAAATTAAGAAACATATTTCAGTAACTAAGCACGTCGAGCGCAGTATTATCCCCTTACCCATAACCTTTCCCACTATCAATCGGGGAGGAAGTGGCATTTTTCATGTAACCGTTTGCAATTACCCGGCGACGTGAATTGATTGGCGCGTCGACGGCTGCGCCTGCGCGGCTCGGTTGCCCGAGAAGCGGATGTCGGCCCGTTCTGCGACGGCCCAGTCACGCGAGCCCCGCTACATGACCGCCCGGTCGGGGATTCGATAATTAATATGCTAATGGCGGGGCATCGCCACCCTTGCGTACGTGATGTGCATGCCGCTCGCCCATCGACTGAGTGCGAGGAGGGATGCATTACGAATAATCAGCGGTTAATCAAGTCTATACATGTCTAATAGTATCACGAAATGTCAGCCACCGGGTCATATTGCCAGTAGGTTTTTGCAATGCAGTTATGCTGCAGACACTCTTAACATTCCACGACGTTTTCTTTCAGCGTCTAATATTTTTACGACTGCCTTTAATTGTGATAAGCAACCAATATACACACATGGTGGATTACGCCCTAATGCCATCTGTATAGAGGAGGCCTTTGCCGAGCAATGTACCATACTTTTTCTTAAACAAAACGCATACACAAACATAAAATAGGACTCAATTACTGGTTAGTCTGCAAATACTAGCTCCATCATCATCATCATCATTTCAGCCTGTTTGAGTCCACTGCTGAACATTGGCCGCCCCCACAGACTGCCGCTAAGCACGATCCTGAGCCACCTTCGACTTCCTGCACACTTGCACAGGTCGTCACTCCATCTAGTGGGGGGTCATCCAACACTGCGATGGCCAGTACGAGGCTGCCACTCGAGAACCGTTCTTCCCCAGCGATTATCAGTTCAAAGAGCTATATGGCCGGCCCATCGCCACTTCAGCTTGCTAACCTTCTGAGCTATTTCTTTTTACCTTCTTTTTACCTTACGGTCATCATTATGATGATTATGATGATGATTATCTTATGTCCACTGCTGGACGTAAGCCTCCCCCACAGACGGCCACGAAGCAAGACCCAGCCATCTACTTCCAACGATTTCCCGCATGTTTTCACTGATCGTCGCAACATTTAGCTCCTGCTTTCAAGAAACTTCCTACCCCATCCGTTATCAGAAATGTTTCGAATGTATATAGTCTGCCGATCCGCGGCGGGGTCACGTATGACTATGCCTTAACACATTCTGCAAGGCCCTTGTAAGAGGAGGTCGGCTATAGGACATAATTGTCGGTCACTTTACTGTGTTGCGGTGTCTTCAATTCCTCCTCCATTCCTGTGCGTTCTGCTTCACGGTTTATAAGCTACCATGACTGAAGGCCCTTAGCGCTGCGGCATTTTTTTTTATTTTATATTAGTTGCCAAGCGAGCAGGTGGTTCACCTGATGTTAAGTGAATACCTCCGCCCATGGACATCCACACCCGACGATTTGCAGATGCGTTGACAACCCTTTGAAAATTGGGCTCCGGCCACCTCATTCACCAGACGAAAAGCGAAAGTGTTATACTTCCACTTTACGCTGGTCTTCTGTGAGGTCGTGGTACTTACCTGGACGAGCCTGCCCATTCGTGCTACAGCCGAGGTTGCTGCGTGGCCCTACCACCAAAAAAAAAGCATTTAAAAACGATATACACGCGGTCGCGCTTCGTAACTTCGCGCACCCGCTATGCAAACAGCTTTATAGCAATGGAGAATATTACATTAGATTAGACCCCGTTCGACCGTCACGCGGAAATGTTCACACTTGTCGAGGGGCCGAGTTGAATGAACTTCACAGTATAGCCCTGTCTCTGTCTACTGGTGACGCAGTTGGGAAAAGCTGCTCCGTGTGGCTAAGATCACACTAAAGGTATAATAAAGTACATGTAGTACAAAATATTTAATAAGAAAATAATTATATATATTGTATACGGAGAAAACCACTTGCGAGTTGGGACCTCACGATCTTAGACAATCGAGGCAACATGCAATATATATTACCCACAAGGCAATCACTCCATTGCATAAAAACAATATTTAACAATAATAATTTTGGAAGAAGTTACAATATTATTATTTTTCACTTCATTAAACGGTGTTAGCGCATCTGCAAATCTGCAATCCCTAAGATTTTGTAGACGTGCATGGGCGGTGGTTATCATTTAACATCAGGTGAACCGCCAGCTCGCTCGCCACCTTCTTGCATAAGAAATAGCAACATGTTTATGTAAGTGGGTATGGATACCTATAGGTGCGAGTTAACGTCTTATTTTTCCAGAAAATTTATAACTGCCTTAGAAAGAATATGAAAAATTTGTCTACGTGACATGACGAAATACATCAATGTTAACAAACATGTTACATAGTATTTCATTCATGTATAAGTATAGAAGTATTGTGGTCTCATGATAGGAACACAAAATCATGTTATTTTGTGTTGATTGATGAAAGCAGAACATGCATTACAGCATATTATGCACCTCATACGAAGTCATACGTAATCAAATTGTAATGACATTAGCGCGACCAAAAAACGTATGGCCATCGATATAACCTGAACAGTGCCGACGCGGGGACCATCTTAACTGGACGGCACCAGCTTTGGAATGGTGCCCATGGAGGAATTAGCTCGCTCGTATTTTAGCCGCCTAATCTAGAATCGGACACGGACTGCGAAAATGCTGCTTTAAATATTAGAAAACCGTTCTAAAATACTGAGCGCCGTCTGATATCTCCTTTCCTTACGTTTGTAAACTTGAAAAGCGCAGGAAATGCTAACAACATAATTTATACTGTTCAGTACCTATTGTTTAAAACCCCGATGGCTTAAGAGTGATGAATAGACTTTTTATTACAGTTGAAAAGTGAGGACCAAATATGTGAGAAGCCGATGGATGCAGGTGGCTCAGGATCATGCTTCGTGGCTGTTGGTGGCATAAGTTCAGCAGTGGAATAAAATAGGCTGAAGTAATGATTAAAAATGGGAAAAAAGGGCATGTTCCATGTTCTAAATTAAAATTTTTATTTTAAATTTTGAGATTTTCAAGAAATTTTGACAAAAAGATCAAAAATAGTAAGTGTGAGTTTGTATAAAAACCCATGGCGCGATGCATGCAGGTGTGATTGCGAGCAAAATTTATTCAATTAATAGCTATTTAAAATAAATGAAAACAGATTAATCAAATAAAGATAAATAACATCAATTCCAAAAGGTCTCCCATACATTGGAGCCCTCAATCAACACAGTAAAACGACAGCGGCGATCCTCTTAACGACACAAGTCCCATTATTGAAAACAGCGCAGTTAGTATAAATGCTAAAACGCACGAGTGTTGTCGTTATAAATTCAATTTTAATCGCTCACCCTGTAACAATAAAAATTTACAGGCACAAATGACCGCGTGAGGGATGCTCCAGTGCAAGCGGCGCGCTCAATTAAAAGGCGAATTATAATCGAAGGCCTAAGTAGCCCTTAAACGAAACGATATTTACGGCTTCATCTTCGGGGAAATGATAAAAACGGACACGTGGAGTCCGGTACGTTATTATGCAAATGCGTTTGCGTTCGACATGCGACTTTACGATCGCCTACTCATTGTGGTTTAATCGGCCGCCTACTGCACGCGGCTGATCGTCCGTACGGCCGTTACGGCTGCACCGAACGGCGTATAGTCGATGTCTCTTGATACGCAATGATACTCGGGGGGCATCTCCTCGAAAGTTTCGCGGGCGATTGCATCTGTAAGTCATGTCGTCCGCGGCTGTCCATAAATGATTATAGACCTTCTTTCAGGTCTAGCCATAGACAAACCATCGCAATATTTCGCGCCATAGTTAAACATACACCGGTTTACGCTCATCTCAGCCGCACGAATTGGGAGCGGACCACCGGTGGCGTCCGCGATGCCCGACCTCCCGCCGTCAAAACAAACGTTCGCGGCTCTAATCAATGGCCACGCAAACGGCCGCTATCGACAGCCGCCTGGCCGCGTCCCTCGCCGCCGCCGACGGCCCGTCAAACGCCCTTCCAAATTCAAACGAGAGATTGACAGTGACGCGATATGGAAATGTCAGACCGCTTTCAGCCAGTCAGGGCTGTCAGCGAGGCGCATGATTTCTGCGAGGCACAAGCGATCGCCGAAAATGAGCTGTATAATATATAAATAAAATAATCAAATGTAATAAAAACAGCACCTAAATTTACGTATCAGGTTAATAGCTGTAACACAATTCCCATATCGAATGAGGTTTGTGAGTGTAAGTTAAATTTTATAGCAGTTTATGTCTACAGATATAAACGACTATGTTATTGATATAATTGTGAAGATTATTTTCTTGACTTGACTATAAATAATTGTGACAAATCAAACCTTGAAAACATGCTAAACTGGTTGTTGAACATAACTCGACTCAACGCAGCACTTCGGTGTATCCTCGAATGAAACCTATATAAATGAAACTACAATGTATTTTAAGCTTGATATAAGAGTCATACACGATTACGATCGTAAAATATTGTTGTTTACGAATAAAACTTGTTGACAGCCAGCTACAAAGTCGAAAGATACGTCTCTAGTGATCAATCGCCTGTACAACTTTGCGGTCATTTCGATAGTGTTGCTCTTCCATTGACGGTAGCTATTCGTTAACGGCTTTAAAGTAAACACACCATTCCACAATATTGGGATTTAATTCTGCAATAATTATTAATGCTTAATTGCGCCTCGTGTCCCAGCCCTACGCAGCGACACGTTGACGCGCCCTGACAGGTTATTTTCGCGGGCGCCGACGCAAAATCAGCGCCGCGGATTCGTTACGCCGCCCGCGTTCAACTAAATCCGGATGAGATGTTGTGATAGTTCAATCCGAGGCCGCGGATCTTCAGAATGGATGTACTGGCGGGTTTGGCAATAGATCCACTCGCAAATAGAACACAGATAGAGAACTGGCAATCAGTTCGGGCGAAGTCGAGCTTGTGAGCCTAAAACGTGACAATTTCATTAGATATGAATGCTCTATTAAAAAAATGTAAAGTAAATAGCCTAAACATTTCCCAGTGCTGGGCAAAGGCATCCTGTATACGAACCCTCTGTCATAGTCAGGGCATAGTCCAGCACGCGACTCCACTGCGGATTGGCGAACTTCACATATCTTAGAAATATTTTTTTGTTATTATCCGCAGTGGGGCCGCGTGGTGAGCTATGCCCTAATACCCTCAATACAGAGGCCGTTGCCCAGCAGTGGGAAAAAGTAAAGCAAAGTTACAGCCTGTACATGCTGTAACTTTGCTTTACTATTTAACCACTTTTATTCACCGCGGAACACGTGATGAGAGCCGTGATAGCTCATTGTCCGAGTGCTCGCTTTTAATTCAATATTCTCGGGCAGCCTTATTTCGATCCCCGTTACCAGCACCAATGAAATTGTTCATTTTAAGTGCTGACTTAGCACGTGCTCCGCTATTAACTAGAATGAAATTCAATGAATTGGATTCAAAACGACTAAATGATAATATAAATTATAAATCATTTAGTAATACATAATAAATAAATAAACCTAATATTTTAAATACCGTATTTCAAAAACTGACATTTACTGGCGACACCGTCACCTTTTCCCGTTATTCGTTTCCGTTGCACAGCCGAAATAACTTCTCTCAGAAATCACATACCGAGAAAAGAAACACCTATGGAGAACAGCTTTGTCTATACAGAACCCTACGAGCGAACTATATAAATTTTCTTCGTTTTTACGCAGCCTTCATTGAACGCAGCACAAACCGCCGGCAATATAGCACCCGTTTTGATGTTCGCCTCATTCTGCGAGTTTTATTATCAGCGAAGGGCACCTGCTTTGGCGCTATGCGGCGCCATTTTTTCTGCAATGCAACTTGTTAAAGTGGAAAGATGGATTCTCGAATATTTCCTTTTCACACTTAGGCGTACAACAGATGTGTTTGCAGTATTAATCGTTGTATGTAGTTGCGGTAAATGGTGGTTTTTGTTGTTTATATGTGCAAATACGTGGAAAACATAATTTTACGTAATATCTTTGACTTTGTTATCAGCGATTGCTAGGAATTTTCCTAAATAATAATGTAATAATGTCTCTTTGCTCTAATGTCATACGGACGTTTTTTTATCATATTTTGAAATAAATTATTTCGATAAAGTCTACCGCGGCCGCGGCCGCTCAGAACCTATTATAAAGGATATATTCCTGATAATATTTAAAATAATTATGTACAAAACTCATAGTCAAAAAACCCTGTAGCAGATGTCCTATATAGTTCACCATTTCTCCCAACTCTTGGAACATGGATAGATATACACTACGGGTGTTGCAAATGTTAATGTTGTGGTTATCACTTAACATCAGAGGAACCGCCAGCGCCAGCACTTTCTCAGTTAAAAAAAATTATAAACACGAGTGTCGCGAGTCTACAAGTCGAAGGCGAACCGCTCGCACAGTTTCCATCTATTTGAAACGAACTTATAAAGTAAGATATATAGTAATTTAAATTGTTTATAGTGCTAATCTTTGCACTTAAGATTGAACATTAAAATATGTAGAAAACGTGCGAAAAGATTTCTTTTCGCACTTTTTCTACATATTTTAAGATATATCGTCCTTAATAGGGTACACGACATTACAATTTCTTTACTATCGGATGTACAGTGTTTAAAAAATGTTTATCAACGATCGAGTAACATGTACGATTTCTTAATAGTAACTCGAATTTATTGTACGCTACGTATTTAGGCAATCCAGATCGAATACGTACCAATCAAATTTGGGCCTACATTAACATATACGTGATCTCGGGGCACTATTAAATAACGTCGGAGTTATTGTAACACCGTTCGCCGATTCCAGTGCCTTATTAAGCGGGTCGGCCTGGAGGGACGAGCGAGGACAGGCCTTAAGTGAATGAGAACAAAACGAATGGACAGCGTGTTGATGTAGATTTACGCGGCTGCGGAGTCTGGGTGCTCTACTGGCCCGACCTACGCACACGGCGTGCGTGGAGCCGCTTCCGATACTTTATTTTTTGGACCTTTAAAAATATCGAACGAACAAGTTGGGTTATAGAAACTTATGTATAACCAGTTAATTCAAAACGTGATATTTAACAAATTAGGTCATTGGATGACGTAGGGAGGTTTTAGTTTTATACTCCGAGGAGGTTTTACTCTGGGTATATGCCTATAAAATGATCAATTTATTAACGCATTTGTAATATCTTTCACTATCAAAAATTAATCTCTAACTCTATCCAATCCATTCACTTATCAGGAAAACGCGTAATATCACCTTATCCCACCTATGTAACAATTCATCAACCATTGAGTGGTAAACTCCCTGGCCATCGGCCTAGATCTAGAGCTACGAGTATTAACCATTTCCTTTTCATCAATTCTGAACATCGAGTGGGTATTCAAAAGCCACACTAACGATTAAAATTTCTTTTGTACACCTAACACCTTCCGATGGCTTACAAATACGTGGACAACCTTTGATTAGTGTCCACGGACCTCACTCATCGGAAGTATGACTTCCAGTGATCAGCGGTCATCTGTGAGGTCGTGGTACCCGGACGGACCTGCCCATTTGCGCAACAGCGAATACCATTCCGTGGCCCTGCCTCAGTTAACGTAGACACCGACAGGATATTCGAAGATCTGGCGTCTCCACGCCATCCGCGTGCAGGGGAGCCGAAGCGGCCCGCATTTTTCGCCGTGTGCCTTTTTGCTCGGCCGCGTCCCGTGCCCCGCTGAAGCCAGGGGACAGTCGTCCTCGCCGGGGAATGCTCCGCACGGTATACGATCGTAAATCGCCGCCGTAACGCACCTTTTGAATGCGCCCTCCGCGGAATAATTGCAAGCCGCCTCCGCTCGCCGACCGCGCCTCGAGATAGGGTAATCGTTAGACACGAGAAACGCTTTTTGATACGTGTTAGTCTTATCGTGTAGTGCTTATCTTCTGTACGTCTGTAGGTCTAGGACCTTCGAGAGAACATATTCTTTCCTGGAAAGCCGGCAACGCATTTGCAAGTGTTGCAGATGTTCATGGGCGGTGGTGATCAATTTCAATCAGGTGAACCTTCATAACAAAAGATCTAGTAGAACATGAATGCTCCAGTCTTTAAGATTCAATTTAACAAACTAAAAATTTAATATATAATTGCGGCTTAAAAAGTTATGGAATTAGTGGAAACAATATATTAAGTACATTTAATTCTCTGTACTAGAATATGTCCTTTATATGCACGTGTTAAAATTGATAGTAACTAGTTATAACATGTATAACATGTATTTATATTGGCACATATTTATGTAACATACTATGAATTTATATATCAAGGTCATGATTGTTTTATTTATATAGAGAGTAGTAAGCTCAGTAAACTTTGGCCCTTAGGAAAAACGTGACGTACACGTAAAACCATCGGTAAGAAACGTCATTCCACAAACCAAATGCCACAATAAAAGCATCACTATTACGACTTCACCCTAAGGCTGTATCACAATTAATAAAGTTGACAAACGCAAATCGTGTGGAATAAATGAGACTCTTAAACCGTACACAAACCAATATCCAGACAGTCCGATTCGAAGCGATTTTTCGCCGTTGAAATTTCAGTGTTGTCGAATAAAAACCAATTCGCTAATTATATCGCCTCAGCCGCGACACTAAGTTGACGCGGCGAGTCGCGATACAGAGCTCACCTGCTCATTACGGAGCCCGGCAGAGGCGCGCGTGCGCACGCACGTTCGAAATTCAAAATTTCAAAGGCATTCCCTCGCTATCTGTCATCGGGGGCAGTCGCGTCGAATGTATTGCTCCGTGGAACCGATTAAATCTCCCGGTGCGGTGGCCAGCGCAGTAAACCCACTCCTTAATAGCAATGATAACGACCGAATTACACGTGTGGAATATTCAGGTGCCCGCAGCTTGTATAAATATAATAAATATTGTATAAATATAATAAATATTGTACGGCCGGCGTGATGACTATCGACACTTCGACTATTAAAAACGTTATCTGTAAATTATTTGTTTTACGACTGTCCCGAGCGTTATTAGTCGTTATCTGATATTTATAATAAGCTTTTAATAAATGTCGACTCCTACCGGGGTTGGCAACGGGCCCTTTGAGCGTTTTTTAATCGATTACGAGAACACGCGGTGAAATATATGTATATGAATTATGTATATGGAAAAACGTTTGTCAAGGCGTACGATATTGAAACTATTTGTTTTTATCGCATTTTATTTTCAGTCGCGGACAGTGCGTAAGGGACTACGGGACACAACAAAATTTGAACATTTGCCGAATGCAGGCTTCGGTGAACCTGTTCAAGTTTTCTGTTTTAGAAACATCGTTTGCCTTTTTGGCTTTTCGAGGATAATCGCATTATATAACACGTAATTTGAATCCTTTGTGGCTCAGTATCTGTTCATATAAGCGACATCGGCAGTACGAGACCAAAGGTCTGAAATAGGCCGGTAACAAAGAGTAACAGCTTAGGACGCGCTAAGATGGCAACAGATGCAAACGTAATAAGGCTCATTAACTTATGGTTTATTCGTTGAATTTTCAAGCTAATGATAGAGCTTTGATAGCTCTCGATCTGCCCTTCATTTCGTGGCTAATAAAAATGTTACACTTATCAACTTTTCGTCCGCTTTAAAATTTGTGTATTCGGACATCGGACACAATTATGTGACAATGTATAAAGTAACAAAGACACTGAATTTGCGCGCGATCAAAAATTGTGATGTCCTATTTAATATATGACCTATGCATTTATATACCAGCGCCTATACAGCGCAAGCAGAATAGCCAGACATCCAACCAGTTCACGCATAGCGCAAACGGAGTCAACGAAACGAAAAAAGAATTCAAATTCGCGCGATGAATAAAACAAAGGAGTATAAATAGTTGGGTCGTTTAATTTCACGACTGCGCTCCAGTCGACTCACCTTGGCAGGAGAGAGGCTCATCGCGCGCAGGATCCTAGTGTGAGGCGCGTTCGGGTGATTTCTTCGGGAGTCTTATCAAAAATGCAACGAACCCGCTCGCGCCGACCGAAACGGACGAAACAAAAACAACGCCCCACGCCAATTCATTAAAACTTTCGCCGGTGATGACCCCCGAGCCCCTACTATTTATGCCGTCGCAGTGAGAAAATCTCGCAACTGGCAACACTAACGGCGCGACAACGGGCCAAGTTAGATTGCGAGACCATAACGCCCCCCGCCCCGAGATGGAGACGCGAGCCTTTTTAACAGTTGGCAACAATCGCTATTACGTCATAATTTAAGGCTTCACTTTTGACTTTGCACGGCGTTCGGCGAGTGAAAAAAGTTGGAAGCGTTTAAAGGTGGAATGCCGCTGTTATACATTTGCATGTCTGTATCCTAATTTCGAATATTCGATGTTTACTACTAATTTGCTTGTAAATTGTTCTAGTTACGTTAAATACTGACCTTTGCTTGCCCCTTTATTCTAAGAATACCTAAAGTTCGAAAAATTACTCATCAAATTTGATGAACCGGTATTTATTTACCGATTAGCTTTAGGTTGCTATGCCAGTCCAAATATTTATTCAAAAAGCCGATCTGATCTCAATAATCAGGCCGCTATCAGTCTTGCCCGTCATATCAAAATTATTTGAACCTTTTGTACAATTGCATAAAAGCAAATACTTGTCTGATAAAAAAAGCCGGCCAAGTGCGTGTCGGACTTATTATCTATAAAAACGTTATGCGTACGTATTATCTATAAAAACTGCGAAAAAATCAAATCTGTTTTATGGGAGCCCTGCTTAAAATGCCTTAGTAATATGGTCGCGTTTAACCCTTTGGTTACGGAACCGTAATTAAGCGAGTATCAGTATTTTTTCAACCAAAATCAAGTATTCTCTCTAGTACGAACTACTTAATTACTTAAATCAAAACATATTCATAAAAAGAAGTCAAGTAGAAGAAGAAGTTAAGTATCTTCATTGACTTAAATTACTACATTTAAGCCAAACATGTCAAGCTAAATAATAAAGGAATAAAACATAATATACTGACTATTAACTCTACAAAAATATCATTAATGATTTTTGCCGATTTTTTTTATTGTGTCGATGTTAAATTAATGGCACTGTTTCGAATTCTTATGTACCCGATGGGGTTCCTCGCGCAAAGGGTAAAACGGGACCCTATTACTAAGACTCCGGTGTCTGTCTGTCCGTCTGTCACCAGGCTGTATCTCTTGAACCGTTATAGTTAGACAGTTGAAATTTTCACAGATGATGTATTTCTGTTGCCGCTATAACAACAAATACTTAAAAAACAGAATAATAAAATATTTAAGTGAGGCTCCCATACAGCAGACATCATTTTTTATAGAAAATCGTGCGGAACCCATCGTTCGCGAGTACGACTCGCCCTTGGCTTTTTTTTTTCTAAAAATGTTAATGAGCATTTTCGAAAATTCTTTCAATGTTAAAAAAAATTTAAAAGTGGGATTTCAAAAAAATGAAGTTCACCATGTGATTTTGTAAATAGATAATAATCATAATAATAATAAAATATCTTTATTCACATAGACGATTGCGCGTTCTTATGAAACGTCGAAATTTTACAAGGAAATTAATATGTTCGTAAGTTACCACCGGTTCGGAAAGCAGTTTCTGTTGAGAAGAAACCGGCAAGAAACTCAACAGTTGCTCTTTTTTAAAAGGTCTGTTTACAATATAATGTTACAGGTATAATAGTCTTGTTTTAGCCTACGTGATTATCAACAGTATTAACCCCACACATTGGCGTCGTCAAGATATTCAGCAATAGTATATTAAGTTTTAGCCATAAGTTTACTTTTAACTTTTCGTTTAAATTCATCAAGTGGCAGACTTAATATCGACTGTGAGATTTTATTATACATGCGCACACTTTGCCCCATGAACGACCTGTTTACTTTTTGTAGACGAAACAATGGCGTAGTTAGTTTGTCCTTATCTAGTATTTAGTCGTCTAGTATTTAGTTTATGTCTGTCACTATTCTTTAGATAATTATTAATATTATGTTTAACATACAAAATATTACAATAAATATATTGAGACCCAACAGTGAGTATATTAATCTCTTTAAAAAGGTCTCTGAGTGTATTCCGGGCTCCGATGTTATAGATTGCTCGGACAGCTCTTTTTTGAAGAATAGATATATTGAAATACAATAAATATTTCTTTTTCAATTTAAAATATGGGTACATTATACGATATCTTACTTGGTTCAGCCTCTATCTTAATATTCCACCGTAATTATTTAATAATTTATTATTTAAGACTATAATGCTCTTCTAGTTCTAGTTCTAGTTCTTCTTTAGTAGGTAGTTAATGTCTTTTGTATTAAATGTGCAAAACAAAAATACGTCCTTTAATTTTATTTCCTTCAAAATTTATTTCTAATCTCTGTGCCCTGAATTGAATGACAACAAAAAAAATAACGATAATAAGTCAAAATTTACATCATATTTTATATTATCAATAATATTTGGAAAATGAAAAAAGAAAGTGAAGGCGTATCTGACATTGACGGAAGAATTATTTTTATTAAATTGAACCCATATGAATTATAGTGGAATTAAAATTACTCTTACTTACTCGTGAAAAGAAATCTTCCTTGCCTTTGTTATAAGTACTTTTTGGCAGTACCTCAGTGCACAAAATGTCGTTTTTTTTTTTTTTTTTGGAGCCGAAAATATGTGTTTACTCTATTGTGCGCAAAACGCACTAACGGGGTTTTTTTGCAAGGTGGCCGGACTAGGGGTCTAGACGTATGAGTATACATAATCAAAGTTAACAAATGTCAAAATTTATATACACTTAAACATGTCCGAGAGATTGCTTGTACCATGTGATAACTTGGTATTACTCATTTAAACGTAAAAAAACTACGTTTTATATTAGTCACTACTATTGCAGTACTACGCTTTACCATTTTAATTCTTTCGTTGAAAATCGTAGTTATAAAGATCGAATGTCAAAATTTACAGTGGTAAATATATCATTCTTCCTTTAAGGGTTATTTTAATTTATTATACTATTAACATAATTCCTTTTTTAGGGTAGCGTACCCAAAGGGTAAAACGAGACCTATTACGGAGTCTTACTCCGCTGTCTGTCTGTCGGTCCGTCTGTCACCAGGCTGTCTCATCTCATGAACCGTGATAGTTAGACAGTTAAAATTTCTCAGATGATATACTTCTCTTGCCGCTATGTTACAGCAGCAACAGAAATATAAAAAAAACAAATATTAAAAAACAGAGTAAAAAATAGTTAAGTGGGGCTCCCATACAACAGACATGATTTTTTGCCGTTTTTATGGATACGGAACCATATGTGTCCGACTCGCATTTGTTGGTATGCCATATTTGTTGTTGTCCCTTAATACTTCATAAAAATTGAAAATGGAAACATAACATTTAAGATTAAAGTATAACCAAATAATTTAAAATTACGATTTTAGTTTCCAAAACTTTAAAAGCATAAAGAATGTCGACGGCGCCATCTATTGACGAACAGTTTATACCTATGATGATAAGCTTCGAATATAAATAAAAAATATTAGTGTTAAAAAAATTTAAAATCGATTTCGACGAGTGTTCTTCTGATGGTTTTAAATATCTTATGAAAGTTTAAAAATGTATTAAAAAACATCTTTCTATAGGTGTGTACTCTTTATTATTTCGACGCAGAATATATTTTTCTGCCAATATGCTCGCTCTCTCACCTATATCTCTCCGTAGTTAACTTATGATAAAGTTTATCATGAACGGATAATTCAGAATTTTTCAATCCATAATCCCAAATACTATTAAAGTGTTCGTTATAGCATGTATTGTATAAATACTCAGTTATAATTCGACCACAAGTGTTATAAATTATAATCTTCGTTCAAATCAAGCGTTGAAAGAGCAACTTGAAAATATATAATACTAGCTGCGCGGACAGACTCTCTCTCTTTTTTTTTTGTTTAAAGTATTGGCCTATATGCATTCCACTGCTGGGCAAAGGCCTCCTCTGTACAGTTGCCATTACATCCACCACGCGGCCCCACTGAACATATCTTCGAAATATTATTTTGTTTTTGTTGGTAGTATTGAAACCTTCCGTGGACCTTAAGCAACATACATAAAAATAAGTCCAGCCATTCTTGAGTTACGCGCTTACCAACATTCATTTTTATTTATTAGAAGAAGATTCTTAACACTATGTTACATTGCGGTAATTTCATAAGTGGTGTTATTTGAGGGGTAAGAAGGCATTGATCTTTTCAGTCATCTAAAACAGAACTTAAAATTGAAACTGACGTAATTCTGCTCTCTGGTTCTGTAATTCGGACATAGCGAAATGTTCCAAGAAAAAACATTTAAAAAAATCCTCAGCTTACCCTTAGTTATAAAAATTGTCCGTGCTAAGCAGTTTATTTTCTTGTTCCCTTCTGCTATTGATCATATGATTAAAGTAATGAAAATAAGTCCATAATAGTGACAAAACACATGACAGCAATACCATACCCAATTATTTAAAACAAGAAACAAACTCAGGAATTTAGTACACAAATAGTTTTTCGACAGAAACAAAAATGTATTTATTGGTTTAGAACACATACAAAATAATATGATTTAAAATATGTGAAATAACAAATATATAACAAGAATTTCAAGTTTCTACTTACCTTCATCGTACAGTGCGAAAGAACGCCGCTTCAGAACTGCTAGTTCCATCTATGAGCAAGTTCTAAGAACTAAAACCCTTTATTTGAAAGTCAAATATTTTTTGAATATTAACGTTAAGCCAATACCATGTTTATAATTAAAAACAAATATGTAAAAGTAATTAAGTCACTAATTTAATTAGTAACATTAGTAACAAAACATAAAGAAAAATAAAAACAACCGGCGGACACTAAAGTAACTAAAATACGATACGTAAAGCACTATTTCTTTTTAAAAAATAACACATTGAAGTTGGTACCTGATCTTGAATGTACGATGCACCTCTGGTCATCTGCCTTTTTTTATTTATCATGTTTAATTAAGCGAATCGTGGCTGGATGGCCATTGTCCGACTTACCTGCTCAACGATTTAAATCTGCTCCCTCCGACCGGTTACACGGCCTGTCAACCACCTTTTTATTCTTCAATAATTTATTTACTCTTCAGTATTCCACAAACACAGCCATCGACACACATTAACAAACTTTACTCATCGGCGCGCATTCCTTACGACACTTGTGCCACAAGTTAACACAAATGTTTCAAAACTACTTTTTCATAAGTTCGAAAATTCGCGCGAAGTTTTGATGTGTCAATTTTTTATTTTTAATTTTCTACTTTACCTGGTAAACAATGACATTCACGCATTCAGTTTTGAGATCATTTCGAAATAACTTCGGGGCAGTTTCGTTCGTCCATTGCGTGGTTGATGGCGCGATTTTCGCGATTCGCGCCACACGTTTAAAACATTCGGCGCGTCTCGCGCGTCTGCTGTCATTGCGATCCGTCAACGGCCGGAGGCGGGTCGTGCCGAGGGACGGGCCTCGACCGCGTTCGGCTACCTCCGGCATCGCATTGCATACCCTCTCGCTCGCACCGGATCTACAGAGTGAGTTGAGTAACAACAGTGCAATGTTATTCTCTGATAATTTATTCAATTCATCGACACAAGAAGACTGGTGAGTGTTAATCGTACCTTAATATTTGAGTTTCTTAGCCGTTTTACCTGGACAGTTGTTCTACTAGGTCGTTTACTCAAATGTACATTGCTTTTGAATCTGTTTATCATTGTTTTTAAGCCGTCTGTACATTAACGTACTTTTTATGTTTTGAAAATGTTTTACCGCTTTAAAATATGATAAATCAATGAAGTGAACGTAGTTGTTGTCCATAAACTAAGTGCCTAACGATAGAAGTTACACGATGAAATGTTTTGGGTATTTCATTTTATTATAACCTAAAAATAATAATGACAAGTCAGGTTTCATTCATTGCTTAACAGATGGCGCTACTAGTGGGGGCGGAGTTAGTTGACTAGACGTATGCTGTCAGTCTTAATTGACGGTTAGTTCAAATATGTCAGAACTTCTCGGCAACTTTGCTAGTTTATTATCCATGTTTTTATATTTCTACACTCAATTTTTATGTTATTAACCTCCATATAGAAAGAGAACATAGATAACCATAAAGGACAGTGTCGAAGTCCCATACAAATTTTTCTAGACCAAATTTTTTTGCATCTTAAAACGAAAAATATGTAAAAAGGATAGAATTGAATATAATAAAGTTCTGAACATATTATATATACAATTCGTTATTAATGGAAGTTTGGAATTAAAGATATTCGGTGTAAAGTTTTTGAGGTTGTCTTATACCTAACTAATATGAATTTAAAAAATAATGAAAACATTTTGGAATAAATTAACTGCGTTCCTTGTAAAAAAGTAATAATGAACCATCCATAGGGAATCACATTATACCTCCTATATTCTATTTAAATCAATCTGACAATATAATTCTCGTTATAATTACATTGTGATAAACTTAAAACTTTATTCTTTTGCATTTAAAATACATTGCCCTTACTTTAGGATATCATTATCCTGTGTTGTAAGGACGTTTCACAAACATAAATTTCACGCGGACAAACACCCAGATGCGAAACAGCTATTTGTGGGTTACACATATAGTTGTCTCGTGTGGGAATCGAACCCACGACCCCGACGCCGAAGCCAATAAATTGACAACAGCGCCGCGGTGTCATCAAACTTTTACCTATTGAGTTAGATTTTTGCTAAAAAGAGTACGATTCCAGCATTTTAACTATTCGAGCTATAAAAAAACGGTACTAAATTGAAGTATTTGTATGAATACAACAACCAACTTACCCTTTGGTTTGCCTGCCTGCAACTGCCTTTCAACCAAGCTACTTCAGCGGTATTCTCCGAACCCATCTAGACCAGGCACATTCTTTTCTATTAAAATATAATCATAAGATAGTCTTCCAGAGTCATGACATGATTTTTCCTTTTTTTAGGGTTATGAGGGTTATAATATCACTGCTTCTAAGATTGTATTCAGAGGAATTAAAATAATATATACTTCAATTCTACCTACCTAACCTATTCGCAATTAATATTTATTTTATAGTCTTATAGTCTTATTTATTATTTTAGTCTTACGTCTTGGGGATTTCTCCCTAAACACTATTGATTATGAGACATACCTACCGCAGATGTTAATTTTTGCCATTCAATGGTGTTGCTATATTTGCGTTAGGTTTGTAAATCCATTTTATTGGATCTTACCTCTTAAATTGACACCAAAAAACTTTAGGTTTCACTGTTCAGTACAATCAGGTCATTAGGACTGTGTACTGAAATTTTACACCAAAAAAAATTTCCACATCACGCCTTTACGCCTAGGTCTCCTTTCATCATCTAACAATAACCTGTCATTACTGTTAGGCATGGACCTCTTCCTATGAGTGTCAATTACTATTCCTTCGGCTTGAAAATAACGAAAACTTACAAACTTTCTACCTTCAGTCATGATCATTATCATTACAGCCTATATTAGTCCACTGCTGGTCATAAGCCCCCTCCCACACAGTGCGAAGCATTTACTCACTGCAAGTGAATTAACTTACCTTCTCGTCACGAACTGTTCAACATTCCCGTCGCGTATAGTCAACAAGAAATGTGTCGGAGTTTTTCGAAAATACCAAAAAAGTAATATGGTGAAAAGAAAAAAAAAAAAAAGTTCGGGTCTTCATCTCTTCATTTAATTCTCGTCAATTCTAATATAGTCTTTCATCGAATTCTCTTTTGAATAATTCTTCTTATATCTTTTCTGTGGTAGTGCCTGAGCAGGCTTCTCCGGGGAAGTACCGAGGTTCGTCTAGTGAGTGCGGTGACTGACGGACAATTTTTTAAAGGTTGTGTACGTAACTATGTCTCAGGTGTTGTATACGTCCATCGGCGGCGGTTATGACTTAATATCAGGTGAACTGCATGCTCGCTTGACAAATTTTCACTTAAAAAAAATTCGCTGTCTTTGGTATTTGTGAAAATATGTCTTTCGCTTTGAGACATATCGTTATTGACGTTGAGATTAACGTGCATAAAATGGAAGCGATGTTAAATACGGGACCATAGATTTCGTCGGCGGACTTTGCAACGGGTACGGTGCGTCTCCGAAGGTCGCCTGATGACAGATTTACGACGTATGGTCGCACGCACCTCCAGGTTTGTCTGGGGCATTATTTCCAGAATGTTATCCGCGAAGTGCACTTGCGTCTTCAACACATTTCGGCTGTTGAGCGAGGTACTCCGCTTTTGTGAATTGAACGTAGTCCTAAGAGCTAAGGGCTGATTATATTCAATTAACTAAATATTATTATTCTTTCTACGTTCACTTTTTAAATGTCAAAACACCTTAGATTTAAACGTCAAAAATTCTCTCTCTCTCTCTTTCTTTCTCTCTCTCTCTCTCTCTCTTTCTCTCTGTCTCTCTCTGTAGTAAAAAAAACGAATGTTTGCGCTCTGCGAAAAGCTGCTGGCAAATGTAACTTATTATTTCATTACTAAATGGAACTATTTTTACCCGCGTTTATTTTTAATATTAAATCCCGACGTTTGCAAAGCGTTTGCGTATATCGGACATACAATAAACTTGCTTTAATAACTTTAATGACAAAATAAAAACCTGTCAAGTGCGGATCGGACTCGCGCACGATGGGTTCCGTACCATTATCTATAAAAATGGCAAAAAAAAACCCCACTTAAATATTTTTTATTCTGTTTTTTAGTATTTGTACAGGCAACAGAAATACATCATCTGTGAAAGTTTCAACTGTCTAACTATCACGGTTCATGAGATAAAGCCCGGTGACAGACGGGCAGACAGGCAGACAGCGGATTCTTAGTAACAAGGTCCCGTTTTACCCTTCGGGTACGGAACCCTAACTAGCGGTAGCCTTGGTTGACAATGACGTGGAGACGTCTAACGCATCGGTCCGTCACGTGAACCTGAATGCTGTAAAGTATTCGAAGCGACGCAAATATCCGTCGACGACGCAGTATTTGGATATTAACAATTATAAGAAACACCTTATCATACTTACCTCATTGTCTAATCGGTCCCTTTCGAATGTACCCACACCGAAATCCGGCGAGTCGCTCGTGTGGCTTGCCATTGTCTGCATCGCTCATTGACAATAATCGCGGCTGATTTACCGCCCTCGTCGACTGCGCGGGCCGAAAGAACAACGGCGAAATTTACGAGTGCGTGACAAAACTCGTAATGCATCACTCGTCATAAAGGACAGATTATGCCCGTCGCCGTTTCGGACAGATTTACGAGCGTTGCATAATGGCGCTCGGTCGCACGGTGCGAGCGATTTCGGCAAAAACTTTCGCCGCGAACAAAGATCGCCCTTCGCCCGGCCGAAGACGGCGCGGTGGGGAACGCACGCTACTGCCCTGCGTTGCTTTAATAATAGTAACCAACTGACTGATGGTAACTGACAAAATAGAGAGCAGTGGCGCCTTTTAGTGTCGGAGGCCAAGATCTTCTTTGGGTCGCTGAGCCGAAGTAAGTAAGTAACTGACTGGTAAGTAAGTAAGTAACTGGCGCAATCCTAGAGCGCATCTTAGCCTCTGATACTACAGAGGCCCGAGGCCCGAGGCCTAGGGCGGCCACATATTAGGGGCGGCCAATCGTGACAAAACTTGATTCACTGATGATAACAAGAAATATGATGGTATCTGAGAAAGGGGCGGCTGGAACTTACTACATTGGCTTACTACCTAGGGCGGCCAAGACTACAAATCCGCCACTGACCACAAGATGCTACTTCAGCCCCTACTATGCCTCCTGCCAGCGATGAGCACTGAACCTTTACTTTTAAATTTTATATTTTGAGATAAGTAACCAACTAATACCGGTAATATATGTAAAATCTTCAGCAATACAGAAATTGGAGTGTCTGTTTGTAATATTAAAGTAAACGCTGTTTACTAAATGCATTTGGTATAGGTATATACCAAAACAAATTTTTTTACAGTTTTGTCTGTATGTCTGTCTGTCTGTTTATTCCGGTTCCGGCTAATCTCTGACTGGACCTATTTTGTCGGCACTTTCACTGGCAGATAGCTGATGTAATAAGGAGTAATTTGGCTACTTTTATTTATTTTAAAATACCATTTTTTTAAATATCAGCTTAGAAATAAAATACGATAGTAATTTTGGTGATGGCAAAAACTCGCCAAGAGGTAAAAATTTGTGACACGCCCCCAATTGTCGTTTTTACGTTAATATTTCAACAAATTTTTGTAGTGTTTTTTTCGAAAATCGTAACGGGTAATAGCTTTTGTTATAACTAATTTGACACTTGGTATGACCTAGAGCAAATTCCGGTTGTTTTGTATCAGAATGATTTCGTACGATAAATTCAAAGAGTATAACCATCCTTTTGGCAACACAAATAACATTTGACAAACCATTTGACAGCTTAATAGTTAATTTTTACGATGTTCAGTGTTTCATAAAGCGGGCTAGTCGTAATTTTATTTTAATTCCCTGATATATTCTCTGGCATGTGTCACTTTCAAATCATCAATAAAGTTTCAATTCTTACTCGTGTAGATACTCTGTATACGCGTTTTTTAAATGTTATGTTATTATTCATTTGACAAACACGGTAAAGCATGTGTTTACGAAAAGTTCTTTGAGGTGGGTAATTAAGGTCGGTGCCCTAAAAACGCGAGTGCGACTAGACCACCACTGCCCTATAATGTAAGCTAATTAATATTAAATCAAGGGGCCGGATTAAGCGTGACGCGGCGGGGACAAATGTTTCCGGTCGTTCGTAGCACGAGGCGGCCCTTTTTTCCATTTATTTATTTCCATTATTTTTATTTACCGAAATATAGAAATTTACGAGCGCCGGCACCGCCTTCCGAGAGATTTAGCGAGCGCGTCATAGCATAGACCCGGCCCGTAAAGCGTTTGAATTATGAAAGGCTTTAATCGGCCGCGGTTTTGGCGTGAACATTGGAACTGACGGCGGACGCGTTGTTTTTTCTTTTGTTTTTTTTTTATCGAATTGATTCGGCCAGATACGGTTTTTGCGGAACGATATGTTACGAAATTTTGTGCAAACTGCTCAATACATTTTATAGTCTGTAGCTTTTAAGTAGATTTTAACACCATTTATAACTACACATCTGCATATCCTTTTAGGCATCAGGCGTCATAATGCCCCTATATACCTACTCCACAGCTGCAAACGCATGTCGTACTAGTCGATTGATATAAAGAAATCGCTTGGTCGAATAATCTTGATTACTTCGTACCGAAGTCTGTCGCATTATATTTCGACCCGAAAATAATGTATACACCTCCCGCTGCTCAGATAAGCCGTAACCCGACCAATTCACGCGAGACGTGTCTTTGTCTGACGCATTAAATGGCTCTACCGCTCTCCTGTACAGTCATTGTCGCGAAACAAGCGGGGTCAACATTTGTTACGGCCAAAGCGACAATGAGCTAGCGCCGGCACGCGATCGTCTTATTAAATCGAGAATGAGCACTATCTGAGTCGATTTATCTGCAGCCGCCTAGCGAGGCGCGCTCAGCGACAATAACTTGTATAACATGGCCGCGTACAAATTTAGTTATCCACCCACTCGGCTGCGCCCGATTATTTATAATAACCATCACGGCGCATCAGAAAAAAACACACGAACACAAACACACAGACGCACACGGCCCCCACTCTTTTGTACGTTTTGTTTCCGATTCAACATAAATAAGATATGTTATTTAAAGCCAATATATCACCTGACAGGTGGTAGGGAAGACCGGGGAGTTGGTACGCCGATTTGCGCCCGATGCCTAAGAGCTTAGGGGTCAGTTTGCCCTGCGCGGCGGACTCCGCCGGTCGGGTCCCACTGGACGCCTCATAAGATTTATACATATATCAAAGTGAGGCTTTTGTGTGAATGTAGCGAGAGATTTTAATCAACGTCCGAGCGCCGGCAATAAGTCGAGAGTCTCGGGTTCGAGGCCCGGCCCGTTCGCATCGGACGCGCAATTAACTCCCAACGACTAATTATCCGTATCAAGGTACGAATGCTCGGGAAGGGGACTTCGATAGGCAGTGTTTTAGCGATATCGCCTTTCGATTAACTATTGAAATGTTAATGTGAAGGCAGTTTGAAATTTATCTCCTTTTTCGATGGTAAACAGTTCTATACTGTGATGCTAAACGCACTCCGAAATATTGGGCGTAGATCAGAAATCGAATCTGATTCGAAAGACGTATTTAGCACGCTGTTTTCATTCCGATCTGTATAAATGTACACAAATCAATTAAGCAATGAAAAGCCTAGATGGTTCGACGCTTTGCAAAGCAAGCCGAAACCTCATGGACCATTACGGCGCGTTCGGTTAATTTAATGCAACTGCATTTCATCTTTAACAATCATCTATACCATGTTTATAAGTCTATGACTTTTTAAGCAATTTAAATGAGGATGGATCTATGTGTGCGTGATAATGATATTGTAATTAATCGATCGCATCGCTTTCGTGTTCCGTAATAACTCATCGTACCGCACACGGGCTCGGTTCCTTCCCCGTGTCTGTTGAACTGTAGAGAACACACTCGCGCTAGGCTCTTCAACCTGAGATTTACATGGGGCTATCACGCGAGCCGCGTCGCTCCGATGGGTTATGAATGGCGGACGTGCACTTAACGACGGGTTCCATATTGACAGTTCATAATTGGTAATTACACGACCGTCGTTTGACGTTTGGTTTTCTTTTAAAACGTGGGATGGACGTCGTAGGTGTGAAGAATTGAAACGGACGTCTGATACACGTAGCGCCATCTATCTAGCGGGGGGTTGTGTCGTTAATCTGATAGACTTCGGGCCGGATTGGGCGCAACTCTCGCGTATAAGGCGAGATTTGCGTTTATTATGATTTTTATGATGATGACGATTTATAAGACATATGACTAAGGCCAAAATCTAGTTATTAGCGTATGTTAAGCGGCCCTGAAAGTTTGCCCTTTAGTTAAGTGTTTTTTCGTCTTAGGGACTAATGAAGGTTGTCATCCGATAAAGATAAACAGTATATCATACTAATCCAGTAACGTCTTAACTTCAATCATAGACTATTTTGCATATGTAAGCTTTCTTTGTAAGCCCAAGTGTTGTAGATTTTCATGGGCAGCGGTTATCACTTTCTATTAGGTGAGCCTCCTTCCCGTTGCTCCTTTTTCCTATATAAAAACCTAAAGCATTGCCGGTCACGAGCGCGGAAGCTGTCAACGCGCTCAAGGATTCCACTCTTCCAGTCGACTAGATCACGCAATCGTGTATTGATCATCTTTTAGGGATTATCTAGGCTGTGGTACCGAATCGTGTATCGATCCCAATTTTCAAAAGGTTGTCAACGCATCGCGAACCCTCGGGTGTAGCAGGTGTCCGTGGGCGACGGTATTCACTTAACATCAGGTGACCCGCTCGCTTGGCAAATTTTCACATTAAAAAAAAACGATCATCATTTCGTGATTATCTTGGCTGTGATGCCGAATCGTATAGTGATCGTCATTTCGGGACTATCTAGGCTGGGGTGTCGAATCGGCGGACGAATCGAATGGGCATAAGCTAGGGCGCGTTGCGATTTCGAGTCGCTCGTCGTTGCGTCGGCGGCTGACGCGGCGTCGGGCGCTAATCGATGCGCGCCACTGCGCTGTCTTGCGACGGCGGCCATTACGCACCTTTATGACCGCCGCGCCGCGCCGCCCGCGCGCCCCTCGCGCCCCGCGGCCCCTCAAGGCGCCACGTGACGAATCAATATGCCCGCCAACCCGCTCAACACTTATTTATTTCGCGCGATTTATTAGCCGAACGCCTTCCGACCGAGCCCCAAAGCGCCCCCTTGCGGTGACGCGTCAAGATGGACCGCGGAACCACTTTCCCGCCACCGTCCACGGTCAAGCGTTCGCATCTTACGCGCGTGATGGAGGCGTTTCGGTTTCATTGATCAACGACTGCCTAATATTTAACAACGACACAGTCCGGTGGTGCACGTGCAAGTTCAAATGTTTTGCATTTTTAACGAATACATTTTTTAACAAAAGCAAAAACGAATTCAAACGTCTCTCTCACTAAACATTTTCAATTCGATTTTGGGGTTCATGGTCTTATACCAAGGAATTTTTTACGGGCCCTCCTCGAGAAAATACCCTTTCAAACAAAGGACAAATGCAAAATCGATCCACAATTGACGGAGAAATCGGTCATACACATATAAAGAATATCTAATCGAACATATAATCTCCTTATTTGAGTAAAAAACTGTAAATTGCTTAGATGTATTGTTAGGGACAGTAAGGATTATAGGTACTCATTCTCTTATTTTCGCCAAATCTTATAAAAAAGCATTTCGATGCATAAGTTTAATAAGCTTTTTATAATGCAACAAGATCGCTGACCATGACATGTAGAGTTGACCGGCTCTGCATACGTCCCTCGAAACCTTTTAAAGTGTATCCCGTTTACCCCAATCACCAGATGAAATGCAGTAGTGTGATACTTCAAATTCACGCCGGTCTTCTGTATGTCTTCTTCTTTCCACTTCTCCTCTTCTTGGTACTTCCCCAGAGAAGCTCATTCAAAAGCAGAGGCTGCTGCGGACGAACTTCAGTTATGGCCCATTCTGAATTGCCATTAGAGTTAGACCATGAAATAATTCAATGTAGACTCACAGTCAAAAAACCGCCTCCCGAAATGTTACTTTAACGGCTACGGGCGTCCCGAGGAACACTGTAAAAGGACACACTCCAAGAATTACTTATTTCAAGCGAGTGAAACTTTGTCCGAACGTGCAAAAGTCGAAAGAAGTTACGCCCGCCATCGGCTGGGACAATTACCTTCCATTGCCATCATTAATTAAAACGGTTTTATTTCGTTGCAATTAACGCTCGTTGTTTTCGCGGCTTCGTTCCAGCGGAGAAAATGGCGGACGGAAGCGTGCGTTTTTTTTCTTAAACACAGCGGAAGTTGGGCGTCGCGGAACGCCGCAGTTTAGATGTTTTTTTTTTATGCTAATCGCGGTGATTTCCTTTTGGCTCGACAATTATTCAAGGTCCGCAACCCGTGGCCCCAGCGGTCGGAAGTGGGGTCATAATGAGGTGTCTTGGATCTGTGCGCATTTTTTTTAACGACAAAGCGGGCAAACGAGCAAGCGGATCACCTGGTAAGCAATCACCGCTGCCTCCATGGGGTAGCGGTGATTGATTACCACGCACTTGCAACATCGGTTGAGTCACAATTACGTTGCCACCCTTTAAGGTAGGAGTAGGCTCTCTTCTTGAAGGTCCCCAAGTCGTATCTGTCCTGAAATACCGCTGGCGACATCTGATTCCACAAAGAAGCTGTAGCGGTGCAGAAAATTGCGTGAAAAACGCACATTGGTTGTCTGCGAACCATCCAACAATTGGCGGTTAACCGACGTTGGATTGTGTAACTTGACTGAATGATGACTTCGGACTACTTATCTATCCTAGGGACTTCATAATAAAACTAATATATATATAAATAAATTAATATAATAAAGCTCCGACAGCAAATTCAATGCAGACTGTAATAGGACACGCGTCTGCTGTATCCGAAATTCAAGTCAGCTAGCGCTGCCCGCACTATTGAAGCGTAAAGCCTTGTCAACAACGCAAAATGTAAACTGTTTTTCCAACCAATAACGCTTTTGATATAATGTAGTACTATAAAGTTCAACTAGATATACATGTTCAAAGGATATTAATTTTTGTAGTTCTATTCTCTGCACCTAAGATGATATTTCAAAAAAATATTAGCGACAAAAACATTTTCGTCCATTTTTTTACAAATTTGTAGATATAAGTGGACATTTTTATATCTATATGAAAATAATTAGAGCTCTAAACTGTTTTTTTTTTTAAATATTGTTTTCGATATTCCAGGATACTTACACCCAGTTTCCGAAAGCACAATCAATTTTAATTTACGATAAATCTCTTGTCAATCGTTGTTTAACATGATCTGAGTTGCTAGAACGTCTGAAACTAACATGGATTTTGATTTGCAATTAGTCACTGATTAACGGACAATCAACAGAAAATCGAGTTTCTCAAAGCGTTTTTCGGTGGTTAACGAGCTGTCAAAAGTTTTATTAAGTAATCTTTCAATTTGGACGATCAATCGTTGGTTAAAAATGTATTTTTATAAAAAAAACTTAGTTTTTATTAGAAATAAACATAATTCCCTAATCCGTTGTAAGGACATTCATGTGTTCTATTACCTATTTATTATTATGCGATCATATCATGCGATTAGAAGCAATACAAAATGCAATTCAAAAGTTAATAAATAATATGGATTCTTTCTTTTTATAATACTTACTTGTTTATTATGGATTACTGTATAACCAATGATAATTAATGAAATGAATGATTTATTTGAACTAACTCTTCCTATTGTATAGCTGTCCCTTTTTAAACAAAACTTAAATTAACGTCACTATCCAGTCCTGTCACCGTGTGATTGCCAACGTAAAAATCCGAGCTATAATAAAATTTAATTTATATAAATATTTAATAAATAAATTTAATTTATGCAAAATGTCAAAAAAAAACTTTACAGAACGTGAAAAAAATGAACTTTCATCCATAATAAACAAGTAAGTATTATAAAAAGAAAGAATCCATATTATTTATTAACTTTTGAATTGCATTTTGTATTTTTTCTAATCACATGATAATTATGTTCGCATAATAATAAATAATAAATAGGTAATAGAATACATAATGTCCTAACAACGTATTAGGGAATTGTTTATTTTTAATAAAAATTAAGATTTTTGATAAAATACATTTTTAACCAACGATTGATCGTCCAAATTCACAGATTACTTAATAAAAATTTTGACAGCTCGTTGACCATCGAAAAACGCTTTGAGAACGAGTTTTATTTCCTGTTGATGGTCCGTTAATCAGTGACTAATTGCAAATCAAAATCAATGTGGTTTTCAGACGTTCTAGCAACTCAGATCGTGTTAAACAACGATTGACAAGAGATTTATCGTAAATTAAAATTGATTGTGCTTTCGGAAACTGGGTGTTAAAATGTCAGGATTAAGTTAAAATTTTGTAAAAAGGCGTGGCGAGTGGCTGTATTGAAACGTGTAGCTTCTGGAAGTGACGTTGGGCGATTGTATTGAATTGACATTTGCGATACGTTCCGCTTCTCTAAGGGCACGCTTACGCTGACGTCATAAGCATCAAAAGCCGATGTTTGCACTTGGCTTGTGTTTTTAAAAGATCGTTTTGATAAGCCAGAATTCTGGGGCAAATGCAACAAGATGGCGGAAAGTCCTAAAATATAATTATATGGACATTTCACCTTTTTTTTATATGACATTAGTCTGATGCAAAACTCCACTCATAGACCATTTCATAAGTATTAATTAACTACCAAAAAATTTGTTCATTCAAGAAATTTAATTAAAATAAATAATAAAAAGATAGAGACGAGTATAAATAGTACTCCACTAGACACATAAATTAGTTTCAGGCGTATTAAACATCAATTGAAGTCTGTTAATTTTTGCCGATGTCGACATAATGTAGTTGACACAAACAATTCGCCATGTATAGGCGTAAAACGAATTCCGATTTCGCTGCACGGAGTGAAAATCGACGGGCGAATAAGAAGAAAATGGAATTATTTAATTCGAACCGCCGCGCGTCGAAGGATACGTCGCGCGGGTCTGTTCGCGGCTCAGCTCGTCCCGTTCCACACTCGAATGCATAACAGACAAACAGGCTAATCCCGGCGTTATCGTAAATTGTCAGTTTATGACGTGCGGAATGGCCGCGGGGCGGCGGGGGGGGGGGGGGGGACGCGGGGCGCGCGGGAGAGTTTTCTAATTTCGCCCCCTGCGCCCGTTTTGATGCGCTAATTCGTGTAAGCAGTTTCTGAACGTGCCTGTTCCGAGTTCACTTCGCCGCACCAAAGCTAACCGTGCACCCATCGAGTCCTTATTGACTTCGGCAGAAGGTCGCCTATCGCTCGGCTCAGCACGGATGTCATTCGGCAAGTTTATCGGCGGCCTTTACATAAAGTTGCCCAATTTACATACATTTGTTTATTCGGTTTTTAAATTAGGAATTAGCAGTGTTAATCGTCGGGCGTTGTTTTAGTGAATAAAGCGCGTTAAGCGTCGGCCATGTTGTTTTTTCACTACTAAATGGCGGGAATGAAGATCTTATCGTGGGGGGGGGATATTCAGTTTTCTGACAGAGGTCCGATGATCATCGAACCGGGCGAGAACATGTGGTGTAATTTATTTCGAAAATTAATTTTCAATATGTTAAATTGTTTATGACAATCACTTCGTAGGGGGTACGGCGTTCAATTTGTATTGCATATGCTGAATATTTTTTTATCTGAAGCGCCGTTTTGTCAACGTCTTAAAATGGCGTACGAATCAATATACGAACAACGATCTCGGTTTGTTTATTTTCGTTATTATACTTAGAATAACTCGTGTCAGCGTTAAAGCGCGAAAAACACTTTTCGTCTGCACATGTTGATTTTTATCAAAATCTCTGTGAAGATATTATTTTGTTTAGTTCTGTTTTTATTACATTAAACTATTTTAAAAACAGCTCATGCAACAATTTCCGCTCCAAAACCTGATCTTGCTTTTTCCACTCTATAGCGGGAAAGATGTAGGTTTTATTTAATACAACCAATCCTTTCACAACAGTTCTCTTACCACTTACCATGTAATTTTCCTGATTCCATTTATGTAGGAATTCCATTTCGAGTTGCCTTAATAAATTAAAAAAAAAATTATTTTTTATAAAATATATAGTTCAATATTATAATTTTAGGATTTTAAACGATTAAAAAAAACAACCGTGTTTTCATAACGCATTACTGTCCATATTCCGTTTGCTTTTAAAACTAAGAAGGATAGATAATTTTCTATTAAAAAAACTACATCCTTAAAACTTGACATTAGTTTGACATTGAAAAGATAGGTAATAATAGAATCATTCCGATACGAAGAAAGCTTTATGGTAACTGGCATGCTATAATATGCTAAATGAAAAAAAGAAAAGAAAAACATAAACCCCGGTCAGTGCAGCATCACGGAGCGTATCAGAGCGCGCGATGGGATCTCCAGGCGCGCATCAACAATTAATACTCCTCACATAATGGATTCCTTCAATTATTCCACACTGATATATGTTAATCCAGCGCGGCCTGCCTCCCCGGGATATTGTTGGCTATAATTACATGGGAGGTGACCTCCATTGACAAGTATTGATGTTTTTAATCTGATGTTAGGATAAGACATTTGTATGCGCGTCCGTCCGTCCGTTGATTTGTGGCGGCCCGGCTCATTGGCTCGTAATTATTGGATTTCGGCGCGGTATTTATTGGCGTCGCTCCTCAGTCGCCTTGATTTATCATCGGGCTGTCGCCCCGGAGAGTTACCGCCGCCCGGCTGGGGTTTTTTCTCGACGCTTCGCTTATTAGGAATCCTCCAGATACCGCTAATACGTCATATTTCAATACGTTACACGGTAGGACACATGATCACCTCCATTACGGCCTCGTCTCCCGGCGGATTAGTCCCGTCAGCGCCGAGTAATGAGATGGCGGGAAATATTGGAAATAACGTGCGACAATAACAAACGCGTAATGGGGCGAGCGCAGCTGCGCCCCGCCGCCGCCAGGGGCGCTGCTGTCCACGTGTTTCGCTCCGAAATACGGGAAATTTTGATCTGATCGATCAAATCCGGCATCGTTCGTTGTTTATTCATTTTTGCACCATTATCGCATATTCAAATCACATGGCCTTTGTTCTGTTTGATAGGCGTGTGTGTGGTATTGTATTGTGTGTGTTTACCTTTCATATATTCTCTTACAAAGAGGAATAATTTTACTTGTATAGTTGCATTAATTTTATCATTGCTTGGATCATCTTATTAAAAGTACTTTACTTTTGTATTTTATAAAATTTTCTCATCCATTCAATGTCATTAAAAAACTAACACACAAGTGGCTCCATCTGCACCAATATAAGAGAGGAAATAAGCCAAAAGCCGAAAATGTTTTCGGTTTTTGGCTTTCTCGCTGTTTCTTTTATTAAAGTTGCATCCGCTGAATCTGTTACGGGAAATTAATAAATCAAAAGTATTTTTATTTACATATACATTCCACTTTCAACTAATCAAAGATATTTGACATAATTTACGTTTTAGGTTTCTCATCCTGTTTTAAATAATGATTTATGTCGAATGTATCATGGATCGATTTAAATTAATGTTTATTACCAAAACAACCACAAAGGTAGTATATTTCGCGTGTATGCAAAGTTATTTATTTATTTTTCCATGAATCTATGTACACTTTTAGATTTTAAAAGATATAGAGAAAAGGATAAATATGATACTATTTTCACACATTATTAAAAAAATCGATTCACTACAAAACTAACGCCATCTATTACACAACATACGATAACAAGTTTTGTCCAATTAGTTCTTTTTTAATTCTTTGAGTTTTAATAACTAATAGAGTTATTATTATAAGACATTATCCGTCATCATCCCACATTTTAAATAAACTAGCGCACATTTTCCCGCTCGTATTATAAATCGCGAGCATCGCGCGCCGAAATGATGGATTAATGTCACGCGAGAGTTTTCTTTTAAAACGCAAACAATGGCGGCAAAATTGCATCCAGCTAATATTCCCTTGCCAATCATCTTACTGAGTCAATTTTCAATTTTCCCCGTTAATAAGCCCGTCAGCGCCCCGCCTCGGAACAATATCGTCGGGATTTTTATTTTATTGCTCGTCGGAACACAATGCTCTAGGTATTTCTACCTAGAGCGCAGCTCTCAGCTAGTGCGGTCACCTACAAGTCATATTTATAATTTATCAATATACCTACGTACAATCATTGTGTATTGAAAAACGGTATTACTGCTTGCTTATATTTCTTTATTAAAAAAGTTTTTTATTTGGAGAATTTTAAGGATAATATAATTCAAAAATAATTTGGTTTAAAAAAAATTCTATCAGTAAACACGTCCATAAGAGGTTTTTCCCCTTACCTACCTATATACCTAAAAATAAGAGATTTCCACCGATAATTGACTCATCATGATTTCTCTGTATTGTAAATTGGTACGAATATTTTTTTCGCTGAGTAGAGTTCAGCTGAGAACGGATTTTACGAAATTCCACAAAATAACGTTTGCCGGATCAGCTAGTTTATATATTATTAGCAACAATCGATATATTTTATTTTATGACTAGTAATTTCATCAATCTTAACAAGAGCAGAGTGGCGCAGTGGAAGCGTGCTGGGCCCATAACCCAGAGGTCCGTGGATCGAAACCACGCTCTGCTAAGAATATTTTTGTGTCTTTTTTGATTACTATTTCTTCTTTTTATTTAAATAAAAACATTTCAATTGAATATTGTACCACTATGCACATCAAACTAATTATTTGTCATCATAATTTTTAGCGCCATCTATCGGGCAGTAGTTAAAATTTCTTTACAAATAAAAAGACTATTAGTGACTATGATGATAACGATGTTATGCTCTTGTTTATCTTATTTTCCATTTTATATTCTGCGCTAAATACATTTAGCTTGTTTGAAATAAAAATGCATTATTACTAGAATCGTGGAATCTAAATGAAGTATATACAATTCAACGTCACGTTAACCATCACACGTGTCATAAAAACACCTTCACGCGGGAAAATAAGAAAAGCACTGCGAAAGCATAGATAATGAAAATTTGCGGGGAATTTTAGTCGCGGCTTGTAATTAGCGGAGGGCGCGCCCCCGTCGTTTTTATCTGTTCGGAACGCACGGCGCGGCACAATCGTCGATAGGTAATTGCCGACTCGAGGGGCCAAAGTCTCAACTCCATTAAGCGTACGTCATACGAGATTTATGTATAATTGAAATCCCGACTTTATTGTGCCACCTTGTTGATTTATGCTGGCCTCTCCGACGCCTGCCCGCTCCGACGCTGCCGGCGACTCGCCAACAATGGACGATGTTTGATTAAAGCCGTTTTGTACGATTGTTTCATAAGCTGTAATGCTAGGGGACTGTAAGAAAGCGCGCTTTTCCCTTGTTAGTCTGTGCTTTGAGTTTCTTTGACTTTTTAAGGCTCGAATGGTCTCAGACCGGTTTTAGACGAAACGCCTTAGTTTTTTGTTGTTCAATTTCGTTATTGAATCACGCTAACCAGGTTTAGTTGCGGTTGTAAAACTAAAAGATAATTCATCTGACATGATTCGTTTGAGCAGAGAAGTTTAAAAAGCAAAATTATTATAATGTGTATTATAATGGTTTTGAAAAGGTACATTTTGTCAGACGTGGCTTTTTTTGTCATATGTTAAATTAATTGCTGATTCTGGCAAAAGTCCAATTATTGTTCAGTACAGACGTCTATTTTTCACTGCCCTAGTCCAACAGCGAAAGTGAAATAATCGAAATTGCGTGTTTTTTAGAACACAATTTCTCTCGTGGTACTACCTCTTGGATGGACGAGGTATAACAACTGAGTTCACAGTGCCTTTTCGGTTTGATCACTTCTGCTTTAGGAACTTTTATCTCAACAATGGTCCCCGTGGCAGAACGATAGTGATGTAGTTAAAGCCATCGTAAAGTGCGTCTCAAACAACGTCGGAATTAGCAGTATACGTGAACGTAAATTGTGTAGAAGATAGAACAGGTACAAATAGTACTACCGTATCAACTCGAAAGACATTAAATTGCTTTAAATAGCCTTAACTTCTCGAATAGGTACGAAAACAAGGAGATTCTGTATCTGATTTTCACTTCTGATGAAAATTTGGTGCTGCATGACAATTGAAAACAACCTTTGTTACGTTGGAAAAAGTTGAGACAGCCCAGCCATGCCCCCAGCGTATACGTAGTCAGTGGGTTGCATACTTGTATCGGAATTGTTATTACAACTTCCTGAGACATTTTACGACAAAAGCTGCAGAGGTACGCTGCGAAAAATTGCAAATGGTTATTCGCTTAGAATCAAACGAGCCATGTAAATTACTCTCATACCACAATGATCGTCCACTACTTCGCGTATCGGAAAAATATTCATACAGAAGTAAATTATTCCGACGACATTGGGTGTTTATCACTTATCGATTCCATCTATGATAATGTTTTTCAAATGCAAGCATATAGGTCGAGTAGAAACTAACTGTGGAAGAGTTGAGAATATTCCAAAATAAAATTTTCCTTTAAGCAATAATGTGTTATGTCACCGAAAGTAATCGGATAGTGCGCGGGCGAACAATAAAAAAGATGTACACTTCGCGTCCACGTTAATTTGACAAATGACACTCTCGCGCGAATGCCAAAAGGATATCAGATAAAGAGGATAAATTCGATGTCTCCGATGGCTTAAGAGCCCGCAATAAGTCGCCGCGCGGACAAATAATGCCTTCGATCCGTCCGAATTAATGGACGGCCGGCCGTATACGCGCACTGAGAAGCACGCACGCCGCGTCCCGTGCGGTTAAGCGAGCACCATGAATAATATTAAGCCGAGACGATTCCGTCTCATTGCAGGCATCGAACGAGTAATGAATCGCTCACTCACGCTGCAATCGAACGTTTAAACGCAGCGGCATACGGGCGATAGTGCCGCCTTCGCGTCGGGTTCGGCCAGCGCGCGTCGTTTTCCACAAATCCGTGTCGAGTGCTTCGCCGTGATGGCGGAGAGAAAAAAAGGGAAGACGGGGCGCATAACTCACGGCCCGCTTATTTACGAGCGGTAACGATGACGAATAAGCGGTACGGCGCTTTCGGAGCTGACGCGCGATATATCGGCGCGCGGGCGGGCAGTAAAGCACGCGGCGGGGTGCGCGCGCGCCTCCCTCCATTGGGTAGTGTATCGAGGCCGCGGCGGCGTTGAGCGATCGCCTCCGCTCGTGCGCCAATGAGTGATGAGCGGCGAGCGGGAAGCCCTTCTCTACGGCTAGGAACGCCCGGCGGGACCCCACGGACAGAGGCCTTCCGACCGTCCTCTCCGAAGGCTGCGATGGCAGACGAATGGCGGTTGAATGTAAGCGCTTATTAGCTTCAACTGGCCCGAGCTCCACGTCAAAACAATCAGACCGGATCAGGACTTCGTAGAGTGTGGACGAAACGGACACGAACAATGTCACATCAGATCTTTTATTGCTTCAAATGTTGGTTAATCACTGGCGTCGATTAACATCTTTTGTAGATGTTTTGCTTACTTGTTAAAGAGTGGATCTGGTAACCTCACTCAATCAAAAATACTAATAAAAACTATATCCTCAAGCTTCTGTCTGTTAACTTTCCTATGCAGCAGGCCCAAAGTATAATTGAGTTTGTCGTCGTCTGACAAACTATTTTTGTTAGCGTTGATACGAGTAGACCGTCAATGAAGTGTCCAGCCGAACGCGTATGTACTGATTATGATTTAGGCGGCCAATTTCTGCGTACAAACCACAAAATTGCGTGAATACAAACAAAGTAACAGTTATGTCACCTGGTAGCGAAAATCTCTAGCCTCTCGTTGGAAGTCGTGACATTACGTGACGCAACTCATATGTCATTTTAAATTTGAACTTAATTTGAATTACTACCATATACCAACTTTACTTTGGTCCATTGAAACTGTAGCGAGACCAACAGATGTGTTGGTTTTTGACCCAAAGTATCAGTAGGTCTTAAAATACACCTAACCTGAATTCCTTCACAAATAAATAAATATGCTTGCTGGCAATCAAAACCTTTACTTATACCGCTTTATTTAATACTACAGCTTTGTTATTGTGTAGATTTTGAAATTTGGACATCGCCTATTAATTCTATTAGAGTATAGCAATGGAATTCGTAGACAAGTAATATATAATCTCGATGCTGTGTCACTGAGAAAAATGACGCCCTATTATCCCTGCTTACTCCTGTGTGAATCAGACGTGAGCTGTATGAATGTGACTTTACCGGTGTAGTCTGACAGCAGGGAAAAACGAACACCTGCGAATTGTTTTAGACTTAATAAATTTCAGATACAAAGAGAAAGTCAAAATTTCTTTATTATTTATTATCGTAAAAACCTAACACCGGTACACTAAATAAGCCAGAATATTTCTGCGGTCTTATTATAATTTTTTTTCTAAATGATATTAAAAGTGAGGCAATCATACACAATGTCTGTCTACCCCGTCAGCTTTAAAGACGGACGCTGTATCGGCCGCGGCGTCCACGCTAATGAATCTATCAACCCCGCGGGGCCGATCCGTTGCCCGCTTCTTGGCCGAATACTGAAGCCGAATAGTTTTAGACAGATTACCGCCCGAATTGATTACCACTGTCCCCTGTTATAATCTGTTTCAATTAGCAACGACCAAATGACCGGGCCAAATATCCGTCACAGCGTAGCAAAGTTAATGAACGCCTCATTTGATAAGAAATCAAGGAAACATATAACGAAATTTCTAATAAATAAGAAACTAAACACAGATAATAAGCACCATAATTCTTTTTTAATAATAATAATAATAATTTATTCCCATAAACATGGGTCATATAGTGGTGTCTAAGTTTATTACAATAGCTCACATGATTTCCGGATGCGGCGTGCGAAAACCAATATTCAAATAAATGACATGAATGGGATTTAAGATGACGGAAAGAGTTAACAATTACTATCAATTACCCGTTTAGATTATACAAAATATTTGAAAGCATTCACTTCGCAATTTGCAAACCAGTACACCCGAATAAAACAGAGCTTAATGCACGAAAAGAGACAAACTAGACTGAACTACTGGACGACGAGGGGTCGTTTCCAATCCAAACACAATTAATGTGGGCGTCCACAAAATCGAAACGATGTACGGAGTGGCCGTCGTTGTATTCAGCGCGTGTCGAGAGCCGCTTAAAAAAGTCCATCGGGAGCGCGTCGTGGAACAACTAGCTGGAAATCAATTATAATTTCCATTAGATTAGGGCGGGCTGGGCCGATTTATGGCGGACGGAAAAATGTACCTGGTACACCTTTGCTACAACGCTGCGTGCACACCACATTGGTACGGTGTAATCCTGATCTCGGTCTTCGTATACCTCATGAGCTCTTGATAATTTCTCATATTAAGCTATGCGATGTTAACAATTATTAAAGGATTGTAGGTTGGTGGGCCAAAATAAAATAGTGTGGATAGCGTAAGCAACTTTATAACTTTATATACTTATTAGGACAGAGTAACGTCCTGCACAAAGGATGACAGAGTTCTACCCTACACTGAAACATTATATGCTTATATCTAATACATACATATATATATATAATTGCTCGTTTAAAGGTTAAGATATATGTTTATGATATATGTTTTGCTCTCTTTTAGGTGACGTAAGAAAGATAATATCTGAATTAGCATCGTAAAAGTATTGCTATGGGTGTCCATGTTTTGGGCGACATAAAATGTACCTATGGCAGTCAGCGAAATTTCTCAACCGAGCAAAATCATCCAAACATTTTCGCATTTTTTCTTCCAAGATTCATTGTGAACTTGGAATATTATACCACCTTGGATTAAACAAGACACTGCTGTTTTAGACAAATAGAAAAAATACTTATGGAGTCCTGTCAATGAATATTTGTTAAATGGTGTCACGCGGTCTAAGGTCGTCTCGCGGGATCTAAACTCCTAGTGAGTTTGTGAATAGTGATGGAAAATGTTATTCTGGTACTTTTTTTTTTAGTAAAAACAGTATTTCTCTGCTTGTCTGGATGTTTAAACCTGTTACAGTTTATTTTTAAAAAAGCACTGTCTTACATGTGTGCATATACTTTTTTGTGCACCCAAATGAAGAAAATAAGAAATTAACGGGTTGTACCAGTTTACGACAATCATTTTATTAAAGTACCCATTTAAATTTTTTACACTTATCAAACGTTAATCGTCAATCTGAAATGGATATTCTGTCTCCTTCGAATGAAAATAGGGACTTCATAAATTTCGTAAATATGTTCATGCTTGAGCCTCAGGGGTCATTGTCGTGGTCAGGGGTCATGTTGCTACTCCGCGAGATTTTAATCAACCGATCCTTGACTAATCGACAGCGTTTATTCCCAAATACAATAACAAACGTGTTGCTTAGTGGCAAACATAGTGGTCTTGCGACCCAAAAGTTTCGTATTCGAAAACCAATTACATGAGCAGCAGGACCGATAGGGCATTACCATCACTAATAACAGGATCCCTGGTTCGCTTAGTAAAACAAACCAGATACTGCAAATATCACGAGTGATATTAACCCCTTATCATCTTGAAAAACGCCATATTTGAACTTTCTTTAATAACAGTGACGAGCTATTTAGTGAGCCCCTTACCCGTTTACCATGGTAAGGCCACGCAGCTGTCTTTCCCGTTGCACGAACGGGCAGGCATGTCCGGGGAAGTACCGCGATATTTCAGTCTGGTGACTGGGGTATAAGGGGCTCACTTTATTACAAGGTGGCAACGCATCTGCAACCCTACGAGAGTTGTTAATATGATATGTGAAATGCTCGGTTAGCACTTAACATCGAGTGGACCGCGAGCTCGCCTGCCACCTCACATTAAAACATACGTAATCCTAAATTAAAAGAAGACCGCAGACAGATGCTTTAGAGAACGTTCCTAATTTTTTTTTATGTGTGAAGTTGCCAAGCGAGGCGGTTCACCTGATGTGAAGTGAATACCGGCCCCATAGACATCTGCTACACCTGAAGGCTGCTGATGCGTTGACAACCTTTTGGAAATTGGGCTCCGGCTACCGCACTCACTAGACGAAACACGAAACTGTTATACTTATATTAGTAATTCTACGGCGGTGACTGTTACGGGGTTTTACGGTGGTAGGGCCACGCAGCGGCCTCGGCTGTTGCACGAATGGGCAGGCTCGTCCGGGTAAATACCACGACCTCACAGAAGACCGGCGTAAAGTGGAAGTATTATACTTTCGCGTTTCGTCTGGTAAGTGAGGTGGCCGGAGCCCAATTTCCAAAAGATTGTCAACACATCTGGAACCCTCGAGTGTGGCAGATGTCCATGGGCGGCGGTATTCACTTAACATCAGGTGAGCCGTCTGCTCGTTCGGCAACTTTTCACATAAAAAAAGAGTTAGTATAGCTCCATGTGCTGTACTAGAAGATAGCGCACAAAGAAAGTCGCAGAGTGACCGCGCGGCCGCGGCGGTCGGGCCCCGGGCGAGGTGACGAGCGCGCCGCCGATCGATGTCCCGCCTCGTTATTCGGGCGACAGCCTTTGACGACGCCGGCACGCTCCCCCTTCGTCTCGGTTGCTTTGCGAAAGGGATTCGCCCGAGCGGAGCTCTCATAAACTCCCACTTAAGATGTGGAGTTGTTTTTCAACAGACTTCAAAAGAGAAGGAGGTTCTCAATTCGACGGTATTTTTTTTATGTTTGTTACCTCTGAACTTTCGACTGAGACGATTTGCGTGATTCTGATGATTCTCTTTTTATTCGAAAGCCGGTGCTTCCCATGTGGTCTTGGGCTTCAGAGATAGTTAGGGAACTCCTGAAAATCGAGTATAAAATTAATACAGAGCGAGATACTTGAGGTCGGTTTTGTTTTTCGTCAATAAAAAAATGGACTTGTACATAAAGCCAGCCACGTTTTCCTATTACAGATTATGTATATACGCCCACCAGTTCTGTTAAAGCTTTAATTGTCTACGGATTGAAATACAAACATCAGTTAAAGTAAACTGAAGTTGTTAGACTTTCTGTAGGTGTATATTTAAAGTCAATATTGTTTTCAGTATTAACTTAATACAACGATATTCGTTATGAGATAATTTAAAACATATCAATGCATTTTAGGTCTTAAGTTTTCGGAGGAACGGGTAAGTTTGTATAATCTGTGTTAGATGGCATTTCTTTCACAGCTAAATGAATGATTCAATGAACGTAATGACTACTTAGATGCCACACAGTTATAAGTGTTTAATTATGGGCAAATATGTTTTTTGTTGACTTAGCAGAAACACTAGTGACAGCTACCATTTTTAAATATATATGTCGAAATTACTTCATTGATTACGTTTATATTATCCGTCTGTTAGATGTTGTAAAATTTTGTAAACGAATTTATAAATCGGTAGAATTCCTCTGAAGTGATAATTTTGTCAGTCATGATTTTTATCTATTGATTTTTGTGAAATCGAAGGTACTATCATTTTTTGCCAATGAATGTAAGCATTTTTAGTAATTAAACAACGTTTCACTTCCGTAAAAATAAAGTTTGACGGTATAACTAATCAATTAAAGATCATTGAGAACATGATTTTTATATCATATAACCCTTTGTAAAAGGACGTCTTCACGCCACCGTTTTGTAGCGAACCGAGAACTACCCGTGGGGAGTCTCAAGGTACTCGCGCCGTCTCTACCCAGCGGACGCGTGACTGACGGACGGCGGCGCACACACACACGCACACGCGCACACGCCGACACAAAAACGCAGCGCTGTACACATACGGAGACATTTACAGACACACACAAGCGCACCCACAGTTTTCCTACCAACTACTAGCCAAGACATCGCATGTGCAGCGCCCGCCTTATAAAAGATTGATAATGATTGATCGACGACATGTGAGAATGATGCGATATAAATTATCGGCGTATTTGTTTCGCGTTAGTTGGCGCTTTCCATACTGAAATTTTGTTCGGACCGCGTAAAACACTATTAGTTTTGGAGTGCTTCTAACGTGTTTTGTCTATGAAATCTATAAAAAATCTCTCTTCTAATCGCTACGTCACATAACATCGTGAACTGTATTAAGCTACATCTTGTGTTTTTTCGCGCATTAGTCTAAATCTTGTCTTTCCAATGTGCTAAATGCACAGAAATTACCAAATTACCTATTTCAAATTAATTATAACTTAAAATTATTCAAAACCTATCCTGTAACTTGCTTTCGATAAGTACAAATTAGAATGTCATGTTTTCTTCAATTATACATAATTACAAGTTAACTACAACGCTCGTTTTCATCGTAATTATAGATAATCACAATGTAACAATTAAGTACAAGTATATCGAAATACAATAAGATAATAAAATAGTATAACATTATAGTAGCATGAGCCTTGTCATTTTGCAACACAAGATTCAAAGGAGTACCTTATGCGATTATGCCAATGAAACTTTCTTTTAAAATTTTTATTTTGTTTTGTTGTTAGGATATTAGAATTTAAAAAGAATTAAAGAAAAGGCGGAATTAACACGCGAATGACACAAAGAAAATCGAGGCGTCAATTTGCACCGGCAACGGTCGCCGTGCCGAAAGACTCCACCTCAATAATTAAAAACTTCCACGAACGACCGCGCGCGCAACGAAAGTAATGACAGTAATGACATTAATGACAGCAATGACGTTAGCGACACGACGCGGCGGCCATTTGTCAGCCGTCATTTGTCAGCTGTTTGTCAGCTGCGGGTCGATTGACGCACGTCACGGTACTAAGGAATCTCGAAGATGACTCCTAAAAATCACTGAGCAAGACGAAAATTTAATAATTATTTAATTTCAATTAAGTAGAAGCTCACATTAACTTCTGATGCTTCTTTAATTGGCCGATCCATCACACGCAGAGTACTCAAATAGGAGTAATTATGAATTTGCGTTTCGTCTGGGGTAGTGACGGAACTAAAGGCCTATACTGTTAGCAACGTGAATGCCAGGCTGTATATCTATGGGCGGCGATAATCACTGACCCGCAAGTGAAGCTGGATTCGCATCGTTTCTACTAAAAATAATCATACAGTTGCTAACAGGTGTACCATGCGGTATTAATGACTATATCAATTGGGCATATACGGCCTTGGCAATCCTAATGACACCTGAGTAAGCTAAAAGAATACGATTTATGCGCGGAAACTTCTGCCATATTGCGGTACCGTAAGCTAACCGGGTTGCGGGTTGCCGATGCGAACGAAACAATTACATTCTTCCGCAACTCAGTTCGAATTAATGCCAACGGTGTGATAGATCGCCTCATGCAAATGTCTGGCAGTTGCGAAGCTATGAACACCGACCTGCATACATTATCGATCATCCTGGTTACGTTGGAGTGGTTGAACATTTCGCAATGGGCGCGTGCCCCGCGACCCATTTCTGTGACGGGCGCGACGTCACCGCTTAACGTACATGCGCCACGCGATTAGCCAATTATATCAAACCCGCGACGTCTCCAAACCACCATTGTCTTTATGTTGTAACGAGCGATTAGCACTTAACGTTAACAAAGGTATGATTTGCTCCAGATGCTGTCGCCAAGGGATGACGACGACGATGACAGCCACCTGTGCATCAAGTGCAACGCTACCATCGTTGGGCTCGACAACTACATCAAGCACAGGAAACAGCGATGCGGCAAGAGCAAGTCTGACAACAAAAACGAGCTGCCCATCGACCCACTGGAGCCGACATACAGCCTCGGCGCGGACGTCTTCTTCCAATCGCTAGAGCTACAAAGTAGCGTTAAAAAGACATCGCTCTCTAGGCTTACGCCGCCCGCGACAATTTCTAAATCAAACGCGGATAGGAAAAATACCTTGACTGTAGCGTCAACTTCTAGGGAACTGCCCAGGATCAGTCCAGTTGAAACTAACCTCAGAGGCGTCGACTGGATTGGCGGTCACAGCTTAAGAATCGGCAGCAATGAGGACAATCAAACGAAACTGATCAACGCTGTAGCCAGCATTAGTGGTAGCGTGAAGAAAGAACTACCGTCGACGTCCTACAGCATCGGAACCTTCAATGATTTCAAGGGAGAGGACGATACTGATGAATGTGAGGAGTCTGAGGATGATGACGAGGAAGAACCTAGCGATGGGGCTAAATGGAAACCCCCTCCACATTACACCGGCGGTAAATGGCGGCCGGATTCACCTGAAAACGAGGATTGGGATATGAGAGAGGAGCAGGAGCATATTGGAGGGAAATGGAAACCGTTAATTATTCCGGAGAGCAACGAACGTGAAGAAGACTTCGACGCACCGCCACCCGGCCACACAAAAGGAAAGTGGGTGCCAGGGGCCCCGGAGAAGACGCAGATAATGGAACCGACGATCCAAGCAAAAGGCTCCGTTCAGTATTGGTGCGGACCGTGCAACAGACGACTCGGTTCCAGAGCCATCTACGAAAAACATTTATTGTCTAATTTACACATGAGAAAAGTACTGCCGGAACATGATTTGGAGTTCTCTGGCCACTTGGAACCGATTAAAAACGTAGCAGACAAACGAGCTAGCCGCCCGTCGCGTTTCGTTAACAACAGCATCTATTTACAGCCGAAACTGAAGAAGCAGAAATTAAAGGTGGAAACTGGGGTAGTTAAGAGAAAAAGGAAGCCTTGCTTTGTTCAGTGTTCAGTTTGCAAGTCGAGGGTGAGGTACAGTTTGATGGGAAAACATTTGATATCACACTACCACTTCAGAAAGGCGACCGATACCCAAAGCACCGCTTACCAACAGCTTATCTTAGACAATATAGACGTGATTGTGCACCAATCACCGTTCCAATGCAGCCCGTGCCGGTTTTACACAAATTGGCTATCAAATTTTATGCAGCATTGGTTCTCTGACGGGCACAAAGCGAAAACCGATTCAATAGAGGGACGGTTCTGGTGCTCCTTCTGCAAATTCGAGTGTGACTCCTCACAAGAAATGATCGATCACATAACCGGTCCGGAGCACAGCGAAGTCGTCGCCGTCGTCAACAGATCTATGCCCATAATATTGCGCAAGAAGACCGTGTTGAGGTGCGATACCTGTCTGCAGGAGTTTCGGTACAACGTGGAAATCAAAAAGCACTGTCTCAATACCGGACACGAGTTGTCCCACACCGCCACCGATGCCTATCAAGAATTGCACAAATGCCAGCACTGCAACGACAAATTCAAATCCTCGCTTACACTCGCCGCCCATTTGAAAACAAAGCATAAGCAGAGAGCTTTTTTCTGCTTGGTATGTTCTGTCACCTTCGAGTCTGCGGAGGAAGCGAAGCGGCATCGACAAACCTCTGAACACAGGGTGCGTAGGAAGGAGATTCTAAGTGAAAAGGGGATGTTCGTGAAATCACTGAAGAAAAAATGTCCGTACTGCAAAGACAGCGTGTGGCTTAAAAATATTATTGAGCTAAAAGACCACATCAGAAACGTACATCCGGAAATCAAGAAAAAGTAAGTCTTTCCTAGCGTCGTGTATTTATTTTGTTTTATCAACCGACTTCAAAAACGGAGGAGCTTCTCAATTCGACTTTTAAAATTTGTACAAAAACTACGAAAAGATTGTCGCCGCTATGGAAATCGAATCCACGTCTTCGGCGTTCGCGGCCTGACGCTTTAGCCACTAAGCTAAACGGCTGACTAAACACACTAGCTTAGTGTACATACACATAGTGACTATTCCTTGTAATTCCTTTTTTTATTATTTTATTTATCTCTTTTATTATAGATGACTACGTGGCTTCGGTGTCGGGGATCGTGTGTTCGATCCCTACACGAAAGAACTATTTGTGTGACCCACAGATAGTTGTTTTCTGGCTGTTTGGGCACGTGAAATATATGTTTGCAAAACGTCCTTACAACACAGGATAATGTTATCCTATAGTAAGGGCTTTAAAAATAATCGGTTCACAGGAAAAATAATTATCTACCAATTTATCCTTCATATTTACTAGTTTATTTTTTCGAACTATTCTCCTTTCTTTTTCTTCTATCACTTCAAGATTTAATCTCTTGGTTGTAATTCAGATAACAGTATCTATAAATAGTGTTAGGAATGAAAGTGTTTTTTTTTACGTAATTATCAATGATTATGTTCGACGTCTTTGTACATTATCTAAGATATCTATTGTAGGAATGGCCAATTTGTAATCTTGCAGTATTTTAGTCACGACCACTTGTAAATATTAGAAGGAATCGTCATCTACAGCTTGCCAAGTATTTTGACTAATGCCGATCTGCATTTTTACCAACTTCACTTACCCAACTTTTATTTTATCATCTATTAGCAGCAGAAATAACTACTTTACAGTCTAAATATTATGCAATCCGGTGGCTTAACGTTCATAATTGCTTTTCATTATTTTTTATGTAAAAATTGGACAAATAACCAGGCGGTTGAGGGAAACATAGGGATATTAAGTGACTACCGCCGCCTATGGACACCAAGGTATGGTGGTTTGCAGACGCGTTCCCTACCTATTTAAAATGGGACCGGAATTTAAACCGGAACCTCACCAGAAAAAACACGAAAGTTACAACGAACATGCTTTGACTGGACAACTCCAACTTTCAGATGCTCCAAGTGCGGAATGTCGTTTGTCCTATTCCAAGAGGTCACACGGCACGTCAGGTCGAAAGCGTGTCAGTATCAGGGCGGCACATCCAACTCCTCCATCCTTTGGAACTGTAGCCAGTGCGTGTTCACGACAGACTCTCAGGTAGGAGTGAGCTATACTAGGTTAACCTGAGTACCTGTTACGCCTGTTCCTGTAACGTAAAAGTGACAGAGACTAATACTTGTTACAAAATAACAGCTGTTATACTATACTATGTTCTGACATTTTGTGTAACTGTTACCATAGAGTAACACACTGTAACAGCTATTACAGTATGTTACTCTATGGTAACGTCTGTACTTCTCTTTCTAACAAAGCTATAAGACCGATGCAAGAAAAAGAAAGAGCTTGTGCCAGTGACAGTGTTCAGTAACAACTGTGACAAGATGTAACAGTTTTAATCTCTTTCTAATTTAGATAACAGTCGTAAACATGAATCAAGAAAAGCTTGTGACGGCGTGTTAAGGTCTAATTTGAGTCGAACAGGAACTGTTATTAAAGTTTGTTCGCAAGTCTGTTATATTTACATGTTGTTTAAACACGCCTCACTCCCCCCCTCAGGCGGAGTGCTTCTTCCACGAGGTGCTGCACCGCCCCTCCGTCACGAAGCTCGCGAAGGAGTCGGGCAGGGTGTTGGAGAAGTACGACTGTCCCCTCTGCCCCAAGAGCTTCAGCAAGCCCTCGCTGCGGGACCACCTCAAGCAGCACACCTTCGAGAGGCCGTTCGCTTGCGAGCAGTGCGGCGCCAACTTCACTCGCCAGAGCAGCCTCGCCAACCACTGGAGGGCGGAGCACGGTGACCGCACGGCCAGGGATGAGCCAGCTGCGGCTGGACAAACCGAAGAGCTCAGGTGTGGACGGTGCAAGAAGAGATTCACGAACCAGTAAGTGATAACTAATTTTGATGATGATAAACTTATAATATCTGAGAATTATTTAGCACATGTCAGTTATAGGCATATTTTGCAGTGAACGTGAACTCAAAAACATCACCCTAGTTCTGGATTTTTTTAATGTAAGAGGATGGTGAGCGTGCTGGTAGTTCTCCTGATGTTAATGATAACCGCCATCCATGGAAGTTTGCAACACACGTATGAATGCAAAGGCATTGCCATTGCCTCCTTTTAAGTGGGTCCCGTCTACCTCACTCACCAGACGAAACGCACACTTCCACTTCACGCCGGTCTTCTGTGCAGTCGTGGACTGTTGCCTCGTTTTATTGTAATAAAAATATTGCGTTGTCGAAATTCTCGAGGTGACCGGAATAAAAAATAATCACAAATCACTGATTATGTGGAGTCGTTCGTTTACAAACACCTCTGGATCGCCGCGAAACTCCTTCGACCTCTCGTTAAACGCATCACGAATAACGGATCTGGGTCAACTGTTTGTTTTACGAAAATACATCGACCATGTAAAAGTCGACGTCTCGAAAGTCGTTGCGTTTAATGTACTGAGTGTGGAAAGGCCAATCGCTGAATCCGCGGCATTTTATCGCGTCGCTTCGACGTGGAGCATCACAGCGTTTTGATTTTCATATTCAGGGCACTTTAGCATTTTACAGAGTTTATGCTGATGAGTATAAAATACATAACTCCTAAGCCATTCAAATCGTTCCCCATATATTTTACAAGTAAAACAGCAAAAGTATGTTATGAAGCGCTATAAATTTCGACTGTCTATGAATGAAGTTAACACTCGCGTGATTAAACTTTATTGGACTGAAGGCGCCCAATAAATTTCGCTGCGACCCCAACTATCAGCAGTTGCATTACTTATTTACCGAGTGGGGTTTCCTATGCGAAATAAGTCACGACAGTATTGTTTCGCTGCCAGTAGAAGACCTAGATCGGTAAGGCAACACTGATTTTGATCCGCGGTTTCACTTGCGTCGTTTTAATTTAGTATCATTCGTAACCTGGCAACTGAGTTAATGGCATGAGAGATGTAGCAGTGTGTTGTCAAATACTAGGTTGTGGGTATGCCCTGACCTCACTCATAGGATACGAGTGTAATAATTATATACTTCTCTACGCTTTTTGGATCCAAAATCCTGTGTTCGTGGTATATCAAGAGGGGTATTGTAATTCCAATGAAACTTGGTTTTTACTTCTAAACACTTGTATTTATAACACACCAAACTGTTATCTTTACAAATTATACAATTAACTATTATTAATAATTTAGCACAAAATAATAATCAGCTTTCGTCTTTTTAAGCTTTCGTATCTCTGTCAAAATTTCCCGCCAAAAAAATCAACCACACTAGCGCCCCCGTCTTCGATATTTGTTTAATATAAAAAAATATCGAGTTTAGTCAATTGACATACTATTAAAGAGTATTTTAAAATTAACGACGACCTAAAATACACGACATAATAGAAATGACACGAGTTTCTAAAATTCGAATTTCACAGATTAGTTATAAGCGATAGTGCCAATTAGTCCAAAGGACAGATAGAACTTGTGTTTTATCGAAGTTGTACTTCTTTTGGCACGTTTGGAAAATTGAAATTTTTAGTTACGTTTCCTTTCTTACGCTAAAGAAGTTTAACCTGTTTCGTGCACACATCAGTTCGTTTTTTGTTATATGTATCTGACACGCGATTACAGGAGTATGTGTCATGCTCTGGTTATGATAAAATGAAAGAGGACACGCGCCGTTCGTGTTCGCGCGGCGACCATCATTCCGTCAATATTCCAAATTTAAATCTTAGACGCGCGTCGAGAATAGCCGACGCGTCATCATCAATCGGGTCGGCGACAAGAGACAGGGCGGATGCGCTCTTGTCCCACGTCACACAACTCCTTCACAAATATCGGGGGGATACGTTCGTAATAACGCTTTGATAGTCCGCCGACGTCGCCCGGTGTTGCCAGCGATGACGCTTTTACGCGCGAAACGGCAGTAAATTCCCGCCGCGCGCGCCTCGTTTTGAACGGACTGAAATATTTGCGCGTCCGATAGATGGCGCCGGCGAATTTTATCGTACACACGTGTGCGCCGCAACGCGGTGCGATTTGACGCTGCCAAATTGACGCTTGTTTATGCATGACAACAGCCTGCCGCGGTTGTATATCGGACGGCCCGAAGTATACGTACGGGTGATCATTGCGGTTAATATACGCGTTCACCTCGCCACACTAAGCGAATCGCTCGAGCCATCGCGAGGCGCTCAATCATCGAAGATCAAACGGACGACGCGACGAGGCTGCTGAATAATCCACAATCACCGTGATTTATAACCCCAATTAGCTTTAGGTACTATCGTAAATTCTACACGATATCGTATCGCAGTCGAGAAATCCAATTGAGCGTTGAAACGAAACTTAAATCAATTTCGCGTGATGTTACTCGTGTTATTAATATGAGTCGACTGTTATTAATAAACTAACGCACCGCCGGCGCATAACAGTAGTGTGAAGGTGGTGAATTTAGGACTCTAGTTAAATGTTCAACGGCACGTCGACCGTGGCAAGATCTAATTGCGCCCGCAGACCGCATGAATCAAGCGGACGCCGCCATTACGCCAACTTTCATCGTATCCAGAACATTGTAAAGCCATTGAGGGCGTCTAATGCCGCTGATGATCCAACTTGTGTAATATCTTATGCGTTATTGCGACACCGACTTGCATTAATGCAGTCGGGGCTCTAAAGCGCCCCGTGTTGCGGGTAAGCGGACGCTCAAACTGCCATGCCGGTGTTGCCAGCTAACGTATTCACAATTGACACACGCTACCGCTTCATTTAAATATGTCTGCACACGCCCAATAACACCCAAAAATATTTAACATACATGTAATTTGTTAGCATATTATTTAAAATTTGTTTAAATATTTTATAGGTGAAGTGATATTCCTTTCATCGTTATCATTTGGTTTTGTTCTTCTTCTTTTGATGATTATTTGGATGACTCCGTGGCGCAGTCGCCAAGGTATCGGCTTCGGCGTCGGGGGTCGTGGGTTCGATTCCCACACGGGACAACTATTTGTGTGACCAACAGATAGTTGATCCGCATCTGGGTGTTTGTCTGCGTGAAATTTGTAAAAACGTCCTTACAACACAGGATAATGTTACCCCAAAGTAAGGGCGATATTTTTAAAAAATATATCAATAGATCAGATTCTTTTAAGTGTTGGCGGTTTTTATTGTGAGAGTTTAGATAATAAAGCAATTGATTATTATATAACTTAGTTAGACCAGCTTACTTAATATTATACTCTGCATGACATTACAGTGTGGGTGTATACACAACAATACAGACACAGAAATACACTATGTTCATCACACAATATTTTACAGAATCGTATACAATATTTTCCAGAAACGAAGGATCGAATCTATACCTACCCTCTGGCGCAAATGGGAACATAGTCTAAATTAATCACTACACTGACTGCCCCGTAAGTTTCAGAAAACGTAAGATGCATAATTATGTATTCATGTGGATAATGCTAACAATGTGTAATACGTGTAGAGTTCTAGAAAGTATTCCACCTTTTTGAATTTTAACACAAATCAGAAAACATAATAATTATTGATTACGCAAGAACATTTTTTTACCAAACATAACCTATACTCGTGCTGAAATGAAAGTTTAAAACCGGCGTGAAAGTTTAAAACCGTTAGTACGGGCTGTGTATGGATTATCGGGGTTTCGGTCCGAACCGCGACCTCGATGGCCCTTAAATGACACACCATAGTTAAACGCACACATGCGCGGCCCTACCCACAGCGGAGGGCCCAAACCCGTGGGTTCTGGCTAGCCCACCGGTTCTGCGTCAGATGAAGCTTTAATAGTCTCGGGACTGTAAGCAAAAACATCAGTTAATACAAGATGTTGTCAATTTCATTCAAACTTCCGATCGGTTCATACAAAATAAGGAAATAAATTATTTGTCAAAATTATTCCAGGCAGGCTCTAGCTCAGCACGGCGCGACGTGCGCCTCGGCCGAGCGTCGATGTCCCCACGAGCAGTGCGCCTACGTGGCCACCACCGCCTCGCAACTGCTTAGGTACCTTCCTTCCTTCTTTCGATTTAATCGTACCTCAAACAGAGACCGAAGGAATAAACGTCCTTCCCGATGATAAGTGATAAGCATCTCGCGTGAAACCACAAAATTATAGTGTAATACTAGAGGGCGTGCACGTACATTGCGACTCAATTCCTGCGACCAAAGCTGACGGCAACTAATATGACGAATCGGCCGACAGAAAACTTCGTAAAATCTTAATGCCACATACCACAAAACCACGATGTACGTAAGTAAGGCAAGCTGAAAACAATTCCTCTGAATAACTGTTATGTTGTGAAAATAAATCCTTAGTTTGATTTTGAAAATTAATCACGGTATTTTTAAATTGAGTTTCCAATTTTGAATTTTGGAGGTTGCTACAAGAAAAGTCTTTAAATCTATTGTATCTGTTACATATAAATTGGAACCTGAATATCTCTAAAGTAATGTTCTAAATTAATCATATTGGACCGATTAGTTTTTCTTAAAACAGATTTCAATGATTTAATAAAACTTCGATTAACAAATGTATTCGTTGTTTATAATTATTTCCATGAAAATATTTAATCAAATCCCGTCCCAGCCCAACAAACTCGGTAATGCAGTAAAGCGCCATCTATTACTTCATTTCGTAAGTTCACTTAACCGGTTTAAATGAAACTAGTTCAGCATTTACACGTTAGGTGGCAATAAAATAAATAACTGTTAAAAAATTATTTCGTAAGCTTTCGTAAATTGCTTATAGGTGTATATATATTATATATTTTATACGAATCATTACAATTTTATGCACACAGGCATCGTCGTGCCCATGGAGAGAGTATAAAGAACCACACTTGTCCAATTTGCCCATTCAGCAGCAACCAAGCAAGTAACATGAAGAGACATATGCTATGCCATGAAGGCGTTAAACCTTACGCCTGCCCGCATTGCACATTCACATGTGGCAGTTTAGTAAGTTACCTGTCCTAGTATTTCGTTCATGAGTAGCTTCTCTCTTCACAAATTTGGTAATTTTGAACTAATTAGGACCCTAATATAATTAATACGCGGTAGACAAGCGTTGTTTTGTTTATTATTATTATTCATAAAAACCTTTAATTTATAATAATTAAGCATTAAATGTTTAAAATCAATAACTGTCATGACTACTGGATAAAGTGACTTAAGTTAAATATTGAAAGTTACAGCAGAAATTAAGGAATTTAATAGACTAAAAAAGTAGGAATAAAAAGGGTTCAATTATAATTCGGGATTATATGAAGTGTATACCTTTTAATCTTAAACATTTAGCAATTATAATCTTGTCCTAAATTCTTTATTTATTTGCTATTAGAACTGCGACTGTTATTTATATTTTATTATTTAGGAAAATCTTCGCAAGCATGTACTGCGTAGTGGGCGCCACAAGGGATTGTTTTTGTACGAATGCCCCGATTGTGGTTATCATACCAACTTAGCGATGGAACTGCGCTCTCACTATACTACTGCACACCCTGACAGATACAATCCGAAAACCGCCCTAGAAGCGGTGAAGACACATCTAAAGAAAAATACTACCACGAAAGATAAAGAGACATAATATACAATGGGGGACCAGTTTGCTGAAATATTTGCAATGATAATTTTATTTAATAAATTACATCCAATCAGGTCAATGTTTCATTTTATCACATAATTTCTGCACTTGAATCATTTCATTCATTCACATTATGAGCACATATAAATATTCGTCTTGGATACATATGGCAATGTATTACAACAAGCATACAACATATTGACAAAACTTTAGAATAGCAATTAGGTTTAATGCTTTTAAGTTAAAAAATAAATAATATTTTACCAATTTTATTTAATATTTTGGGTTTCTTGTTTGACTTATTCCTTTAGCGATATTTGTCTGCCTTATTCATACTACTTTATTAGTATAATAGTTTACGGATCGGATTCTCCATAGAAAAAATCATCAGTTTTATCGCTTTTTTTTCCCTGCCATCTACACTTACTCAGCGGAACTAAGACAACAAACAGTTTAAACCATGGACCAGTTAACCGAAATTTTCGTACTAAAACATTAGATGGCATTTGGAGTATGTGAAATTTATATATAGTAACATTATCAAAAAATTAATAAATAAGATGTACTTTAAAAAAAATATGTTAACTTCCCTTTCACTCCTCAAATATTAATTAGTTTCACAATTCATAAATTCTAGAATATTGCTTTTATTTCTAATTTGCTTCATAATAGCAACATTGTGTTTACCTCTGAATCCAAATGTCATATAGCCAATAAAAGTTCTGCGAGGGAAAAATTATTAGAGGGAAGAGTGCCCATTGTGATGTACATGTGTTTCGCATCGCGCATAAATATAGCTACGAAAGATTTCATTACTCCTGTATCAATAATTTGAGTTATTGAGTGAATTGGATGTTATTTATATTTTTCGTGTGCTTACGTAACGGCCCCTTTTGCGTTTTATCAACAAAAGAATTATATGTTCTTCGTTTAAATTGCAGCGCAAATTTGAACTGAATAATGTTTGTTTATTTCCACGTGTTGTGAAAAATCGACCCAAGATGTCTTTGAAGGTGAGTTTGTCTTTATTTTCAGCATTGTTTTTATGTTATCGCATTACTATACAATTAATTCTAAATCGCTTTGCTAATAATTTGGTTTCCGCCCTGGAAATCGTATAAAGATGTGTAATTAATTATTAATAGAAATATTTTTTTAAATAAAGTTAATAAAATAAATAAAATAATGTTATTGTCATGACACTGAATACCTTTTAAATTGATTTTATTAATTTATATAGTTTCAAGACCTATAGTTGCAGAGAAATGTGTTATTGATGCTGGTGATTATTTATTTACATTTTATTTTTATATAAATGGTATGTTATTGTTAAACGTTTGATTATATTATTTTTTTAAATAATCATATATTTTTAGATCACACAATGTTATACTTCAATGTTAAATAATATAAGCAATCTTCCAAAGGACAAAATATTTTATGTACTAAAGACAGTCTATATTTTAATCAAGTGCCAGTATATGCAATTTATTAGTCTACAATATGTTTTTTTTCTGATAACAAATAACTGTTTTGTATATAATACAAGTTACAAAACATCATACACCTATTAAGGTGAATATTTATGATTATCAATAATTTATTTAGTTTTTAATTTGTTCCTCATTTTAAATTTTTTAACTTATTATCCATTTTTATATTCTTTTGCTTCATAAGAATCCATGGTCATATTTGCTAAATCATATTGGTAAAATAAAATAAATTACTATAAATCATTATACTTATGTAAATTTGACTCTTCTACGGGCATTCAATACTGTTATTACATATGAAAGTTTTAGTATTTTTTAGTACTCATTATTGGCGTTCAATATTATCATATTATGTTTTAAAAGAAAAAAAAAATAAAAAATTAGATTGAACTCAATACAAGTCTCAATTTCCTTCATATGGTTACTTTTTAACCCGCAAAGAATTAGACCTGTCTGAGTCAGCAGCCATTTACTTTTCACAGGACATATTTGCCACCAAAGATGATTTTGAAGTACATGCCAGTACACAAGGCAATAAAGAGGAAGAAGTGTCACATAATAAACTAAACTAACCCCGGCACATATTATCACACGCCAGTGGGGAATACAACACGCGATCTATCGAAGCGAGATAGCTGCTAGGCCATCGTGTATATTTGAATAAAATGTCCTTCAAAATCTAAAATATATTTATTCAAATAGACGCTTGCGCGCTCTTATGAATCGTCAAATTTTACATCAAAAATTATACATATAGGTTCGTAAGGTACCACCGGTTCGGAAAGCAGTTTCTGTTGAGAAGGTTCCCTTCTTATATAAAAGAATTGATTTTGAGGGATGCGACGTTAATCCGGCGTAGGTCGTCTCTCCTTCCACATGGGTCTTGGTTCAGTGACTCCGATGCCGTGCGGGTTGGACCGGTATCGAGACACGTCTCAGGCTATATATGGAACCCACCCTCGGTCGTCTGGGCCGACGGCGAAATGTGACACAAATAACTCGTTTCATTCAGCCCCGTCTGCGAAATTTGTTTAAGGACCAGCTGTTCTCTGAGAACTCGTTAGTGTATTTCGATGTTGAAGATGACCGTTGTACTTCCAAATACGGTCGTGCAAAATCTGACCGGCGGGAACTTTGTGTTATTTCTGCTTGGATGGAGTTTTATATCAATCGGTCTTTGGTCATAAAATGTAAAAAAAAAATTAAAAGTAAAAAAAAGACCGCAGAGTTTCTTGTCGGTTCTTCTCTGGACAGTTCTAGTTTAGTGAACCGGTGGTAGTTTTAGACGCTCAAAAAGACCTTAAAGAAACCTATACTGAATAAAAAAAATTTGACCGACTTTGAATTATCTCTGTTTATCCATGAAGTAAGTCCTTTGCTTGTAACAATTTCTGGTTGAAAGAAAGTCAGTCCACTAACATACTCGTTTTATCCATTCCTCCATTTCAGATAGGGCTTCGGTGATATTTTTTGATAGTTATTAATCAAAATCGAAGATAGTGGAGAGACTTGATATCGGAAGCTACTTGACTACCTGTGGATTAATTTCTTTTAATCAGCCAAACGCAATCGGTAAATGCGATGAAAAATTGTACTAGTCCGCTCTCCCAAATCAAGAGGCTTTTGACAAACAGAAATGAAACAAAGATATTTTTACTATACAATTTTTTTGTCGGTAAAATTATTATTTTCATTTTCTTCTTCTAAATACAGTTTGAAATTATATACGTTGGAAGTAGTAAGTCCGCGACTTCGTCCGCGTGGAATTTAAAATAAATAAAATTTCTAAAATAAAAGTAGACTAACAAATAAATAAATAAATAAGTTAGTTCATAAGCCAGTTTATAATATCAGCTATCTGCCAGTGAAAGTCCCGTCAAGTCGTTTCAGAGATTAGCCGTAACAAACAGACAGCCAAAAATTACAAAAAAATGTTGGTGTATGTACCGTGTATACATCCATATGCATTTAGTAAAATGCGGTCATTTTAATATTACAGACAGACACACCAATTTTATTTATCTGTATGCATAGATTTACACTCGTGACTTCACAGACGTTGTTATTTTTTACCTCTGAACATTTTCTATTATATTGTGGACGGCGCAGGCTCAGTTTGGGACTCCAGTAAGGTTTGGTGTCCTGTCCACCCGTAGGAATAAATGGCCTGCTATACATTATGTACAGCTAGCGAGGTCGTGAAACGGTTCTCCTTAACAGCGAGAGAATGCAACGAGAGCGGTCTAGACGTAAACCGTTAAAATGCAGTTTATAAGCTGAGCACGCCATCAGTTTATTGCACGCAAAAGGAGACGTCTATCTGACTAGCCGACTACAGGTGTCTACTAAGAAGTCTTTTATCGATATCTGTTACACCATTGGTACGAATTAAGTTCGACGTAACCAAGATAGCATAACGTGTCCAATACCTTATCAGATGAAGGCACATCTCTATTTTGCACCACTCTTGTACCGAAAGCTGTGTGAGAACTGAAAGAAGATTATGCGACATTTAAAAGTATATTAAGTAGTTCGAAGCGGTTGAAGCTGGACGGTTTTAATTACTCACTCACGGGTAGCAGAGTTCAAATCCGTCCGCTCGCATATGGTTTGTTTACTCCGATCTGCTCATGGACATTTAACAGGGACTCCGGTTGCATGCATTTCCCGTGCGTTATTGGGATAACCATAATAACGCTCGCAATGTATGGGAAAATGTTTTTCTCAAAATTTTTAGTTTAAAACTTTTGGTAGACACATATTAACAATTTAACAATTATCAATTATCATAACATATTAACGATTATCACCTGCCTCTGCTACTGTAGTTTTTTTTTTATATTAAGGGTTTCGTCCCACTAGAACCCCTTTGTTAGGTGGCAGCCCCAATGGCTAGGAGGGGCTCTGTAGCTTGTATCTCGCTCATCCAAATCCTAGTTCGTGGTTATCCGGTAGAATGGCAACACGGTGTGATCGACACCGTGTTGCCATCGTCTCTGTCAACTAAGCAAATAATGACGACATAATTATTTATATTTTTGAAATGCATAAGTTGCAATCTATCAACGGAAAATACATTCGTGTATGTTATTGATACACGTTGCCTGTAGGTCGCAATTCCGTCATAGCAAACACCAGGTTATTGGTTGAAGAAAATTAATTCGTGGAATTAGGACGGTCCTTGATAACGCGATCCAATGGTGAAACTATTCGCTCGTAAGCCATCGGCGCTCGCCTTAAAGATGAGCCGCGTCAGACGCCTTCTTTGGGGAGAAATCTGGATCCCGTCGACGGGCGCCTTCCGCGTGGCCAAGAATGCGGCCGTAGTGCCACTGGTTACGTTTTGGAGACGATGCAAACCTCACTGCCGATGGGACCCGCTTTGGCATATGTATATATTTTCCTTCTGCCGTTTTCATACCTTCGTGGGGTGGGAAAACATGTGGTTCATGTTGTGAGTGGTATTAGATAGGTTTTTTAGGACTGGTTTATAGCTACTTTTCGGCGCATCCGATTGGATAATCCTAATATGGATTGTAGATTTGGACGTTGTTTTTATCATTGGTTTTATTGATTTCGTGTCATATTTCTTACATATAAGTATGCAAATTTTGTATAGGATCAACGTTAACCATATGTGTGTGATATTATGATAGCTATCAAATTGGCCATATTCAATTTGATAGCTTAGCTTAGATTCTCCGATTGGTCATGCCGGCCCGGGAAAAATGAGGGGTAATTTTCTCAAGCTCATCTGTCACAATAGCGTTTTGTCGGACGCTGAATGGAAATATATTTTAAAATCACGAGACTAAAGTAAATACTCTTTTCATGTTATTTGTAAAAAAATGGTTAATATTTTTGTTAGATATTGTCGAATAAAACTAATGAAGTCGCAAGTTTTTACTCCGGGTAGATAAAATTAACTAAGACGTCGCACATTTATTTGAGCTATCTTGAAACTTGATGTGGCAAGCTCGTCGTCTACACGATTTTTTTTATGTGAATAGGTAGCAAACGAACAGGCGGTTCACCTGACGTTAAGTGATATCCGCTGTGTGTGTGTTGAAATGTAACGCCCGCGCTACCCTCAACCCGCGGCGTTGAACTTGTCCCGCCTTAACCTAAATGTTAAGGGCGATCGTAATCTTCGGATAGATGGGGTTTCCCTCTACCGCTCGACTTATATAATATCGTGTTGTTAGTCGCAAGGTGTTACATGATACAGCTCAAAGAAACTGTTGTTAGTAGGGACGCGTAAAATACTACGACGTTTTGCTTTTTATTTAATTATCCCGCGGTAAAATATAACTCGTGTGAAGATGGAGGTATCGCAGTCACGAAATTCAAGTAAACCCGGAATGGGAGCAACTATTTATGGACCGCACTTTTTGTTGTGAGAATCGAACCAACAACAGCGCGCTATGGTAGCGCTTTTTGGCTAAAACGTCGACTCCCGGTATTCTGTCGTTATTTTAAGTCCCGGAGGCGTGTTGTTCAGATTTCTTTTTGGTTGATTGGTGTGACGTAAGCTAGCGATAATCGTGCTAGAAGGTGGAAAAAAAAACAGAGCTTCTCCTGATATTACTGAACTACCCCTCAATGGACATTTAAGAACGTGGCGTAACCTTGGTAACTAGATGAAATACAAGTGTTGTGTTAGGCCCTCGTACTTCCCAGGAAGGGCAAACCAAAAAACGATATATCCAACAATTGTCTAGTAAGCCAAAAACCACAGCACCAGATCCAGTCTCTGTCTAGTCCGCTAGTCCCAAGTTATGTTTGACTAGGCCCATTTTTCAATTTATTTATTAATTCCTCTAACAACCATATTATATATCAGTTTAGTTACTTCAGTATTGCGCAAAGCGGGGACACGATGAGTTTGTCTCGTGAATTAGAAACGTGCCTCTAATTACGAATAACTGAAGACGCCACAGTCAATTAGGGACACTGCTATGAGTGGCTTGTGCAACGTACTGCAAATAAATATATTGTTATATTTATTTACAGTACTATAGCAAACAAATAACTAACTATAGCATACACTTTATTGTGACTATATTAAATTTTCTATTAAATTTTTTCTCACTTAATATGATACATTAGTTGTTCACTTTGATATTTAAGTAATAAAAGTCGAAAGTCAAAGACAAAGAAGAGAAATGGAATCTATGATATTTTAAGAGAGTGTATTTAGGAGATATATTTTTAATTTTGCCGTTTAAGGTGATTATGTTCTTGAAGCGAAAACCAATCCCATTTTCTATGTAGGTGTGTCGAGTAACGAAATTTATGCTAACGTATTTTCAAGGTGTACAGTTGACAAAGTGGAACATGTGATTTTTGTTTTTTCCACTAAAATAAAAACCCTGTATCCTGTCACAGTCACTGTGTTTACCTCCTGGTACCCGAATCAGCCACAGGGACTTTTCAATTTCCTCACAGCTTTACGGCAACGTGATATCAAAGTCGAGTGTGGACGACCCCGACACTACAGAGCTGACTTACATGTTCCCAGACTGATGCTAACTTTATTAATTGTGTGTATTATTAATTGTTATACTTCTGCGTTTTCTCTGATGAGTGAGGTAGCCAGGGTCCACTTTATTAAATGGTGGTAACGCATCTGCAGCCCCACAGGTGTTGCTAATGGCCATGAGCGGCGGTTATCACCTAACATCAAGTGAACCGCTAGCTCGCTTACCACCTACTCACATAAAAATATATATAATACTAGCTGACCCGGCAAACGTTGTTTTGCCATATTAATTATTTATAGGATAGAAAAAAATGTTTTGGTGTGGACCACCCTTAACATTTAGGGATGAAAAATAGATGTTGTCCGATTTGCCACCCTGGCCGATATGCACACAAAATTTCACGAAAATCGGTCTAGCCGTTTCGGAGGAGTTCAATTACAAACACCCGAGTGACCCGAGAATTATATGTATTAGATAATAAAATAACATATCGAACATTGTTTACACTCAAAAATTAAATAAACAATTACATTACAATCAATGTTACACCTCACGCATTTCCTCTTTCAATCGTAATAATCATTTTTTTACACCGTTCAGTAAGAAAGAACCGCTTCATGGTTTATACTGCTGAGTTTGCCAACTCTTCCTTGCACGAGTCTCCAGTTGCGATTTGGTGAAAAATTTTCAGCTGAAAACGAGCCTGAATCCATAAAGACTGTTTCGATTTTGACCGAAAATATCTCGACTGTTACAACTGGGAAAGGAGAAAATACTTCTGCAGAATTGTTTGATCTAAAAATGTATCTGGCCACTCTCCAAGTGTTGCGATAGGTATTTAAGACCCTTTGCATTCTTCTTATATTTTATGTGAGACTAATGAAAACTGATGAGCCGTCATAGCTCAGTGTCCGGCCGCTCGCCTTTAATTCAATATATACTCGAGCAACCTGCGTTCGATCCCCGGTGCCGGCACCAATGAAGTTTTTAACTTTAAGTGCTGACTTATCACGCGCTCTGCGGTGAAGGAAAACATCGTGAGGAAACCTGCATATTTTCGAAATAATAAGAATATTTAAAAAAAATATTTTTCGAAGATATGTGAAGTCCGCCAATCCGCAGTGGGGCCGCGTGGTGGACTATGCCCTGATACCCTCTGTATAGAGGAGGCCTTTGCCCAGCAGTGGGACATATATAGGCTGTTACTTTTAATGAAAACTGCTCCAAGTTATGTTTAAAGCTTTTTTTGTCATAGTAAAGGAAATAGAACTCGCCACCGATGGCGCTATGGGATCCAGAGCTACGACTACAACGTGACGTTGTCACAGTGAATCGCAGTCTGCGTTCATAACGTGACGGCATAACGTCCTCTAAGCTATAGTGGTTACACAAATCATGGAAAGTTTTAAAAAAAAGTAATTCTAATATGAAAAATATTTATTTCATTATAGGTGTGTATTGGAGGAGGCTGATATTTAAACTGTCTATATATTTATTATAAACGCAGAAAAAATAATAAGTAACAGCCTCCAAAGAATGTGTCAAATATTATGTAAAACAATATAAACTATTCTATATATTCTATATGAACTATTCTAGTCGCATTATGAGGTGTGAATAAATACAAGACATTCCTAAGCCAGAAAAAAACAAATATGATGTCACACAGAGTCGCAAAGATTACTAAAAAATAAAGCAAGGCGTTTTAATGTTTCGCTTTCGACCCGCCGTGGACTCTTTGGCCGGTAGAGGGTATTTACCGTGCCGCATGACGTGATGCCACATGTTAAGTAACTTGCCGCAAGGTCATGCATATTCACTACTTACGGATGCTATATCTCTATGCTATATGTTGTACAAAGCCATTTTTGGTAACAGTTAAACTAGATCATGGTTCAAAGATTATGAAAGTGAATCATTCCTTTAATAATAAGGTCACACGCACTCAGTAATCACTTTAGGTCGACGTCAGGAGTATAGACCTAAGTGGTGTACAAGGGAATCTTCTATCTGCTACTCTTATCCCACCTAGTACTACAAGAATGACCTCTTCTTTCTCTTGCCCTTATCCCACTAAGGTGGTGTCGGCAAAACATGTGAATCATGTCGTTAAAAAGTTAGGCTTTTTTATGACCAGCCGCCTGCCTGACGTCAACCCAACCTTGGAAACAAACACCTAGATTCGGATCAATCGTCTGCTGATCACATAACTACTTGCCCCTCTTGGGAACCGAATCCACGACAGCTACTGCTTCATTTTAAATGAACGTGCCTTAATCAATTGTTGAACTCATATGGCCAATGCTTTTAATTGATCTTTTCATTTAAAGCAATTTCAGTTTTGTTTTTCCTTCTGTACCTTGTTTCTATGTCTCTTGTCTCCGCTGACGATAGAAAGTCGCTATCCTTACGAGTATGTTATGCGTCATAAAATTCGACAATATCGCAACGAAACTGCTATCCTTTCATATTTACGTGCCTGCACTTTGCTGTCTTTAAAAATGGTTAGCGTACATTTACCAAAATTGTACAGTGACCAAACTAAACTCAGAACCAAAGGGCATTACCCAATAACTCATTCGCCCAACAAAAGTTGCTGCGTAGCTCTGGATTAAAAATGGTATTTACTATCAAAGTCTTAGTCAAAATTTCTTTATTCATAAAAAACTACCATCATCATAAAACTACACACATATCAGTACAATGTGTAATAATGCGCCTCTTAAATACTTTACTGGTGCTAGTATTTTCCCTTCTTAGATGGTCATGCAATAAATTGTAGTATTAACAACGGATATATTCTTCGGTATACGATCGAATCATCGCTATTTATAAAAATAACTTATTAAAACTGTTTATTTTACTGGTCATTTATCTGTGCCGGATACAACTTGGCTCTTCGTTAATAGCCGTGGACTTAACCACACCTGTAAAGTAACATAATAAACTTTAACGCGAAATTGCAACCCATTAAAGGAACGAGTCACTTAATGCAATAACACAACTCTTACATTAGCGACGGGCTTACTGGGTCATAAATGTGAACATTCTCGTGTATAGAAAGGCACCAGCTGCGGCCTGCAATGGTGATAGGCATAAAAGCCTGTCTGTGCCTAATATCGATTCGAGGGGACTAGGTTTCGACACACGTAGAACCTTTAAACTTTGAAAGCGCATTTGCACTCCGAGCGATACTGCGTTTCAATTGCTCCATTGGGTATTTCAACAGACGTCGCGAGTTATAACATATATTTACTCTATTAATATGAACCTAAGAACACACAAATATGAACAAACAAGAAATGTGCACTCAAGGACCTACAACAACTTTTGAATATATTCAGCACCTTTATCCCTTTTTTAAACAGTTAATTTATTCACCAATACTTAAGCACTCAAAATGCCTTAGTGCATACAATGGTACCTTCTTTACGGTTTTTTGTGCCTTCCACACCTTAAAGCTAAACAAGCATGCTCTTTGCACATGGTACATTTTCTCGCTGTCTTGTAAATCGCCAAACATTATTCTTTAATATAAAAAATGTTATGTTTTAACCGTGTCTGTATTGGCCATGGATGGTTAAGCAAGTTCGCGATTTCAGTGAAATATGACTTGGCGATTCATTGCGAGAGCTGTGTTTATATCTAGGGCAATGCCTTGTTAAATATTAGCGTCGTACACCGCAGGCCAAACCTGTTGCCCTGTCTACCATGACAACTGATGGCATACTAATTCGTGTCCTTGTAACCACAGTGAGGTTTCTACTTGCGTTTTAAATATCGCATTAAAACTTTTTCGCGAAACTCTACATTATATTTTTCTTTACTCCTTGCCCGATAACGTAACATACAACATATAAGGCCTCTTTCAAAAAACCGGTTCGTGAACGCTTATTGAAGACAACCACCACTTAAGTATACCCTTTGTTATCTTTTATAATTCTGACAATAAAGCATAAATAAATATACATCTGTTTCTACAAAACATGAGATATTTAGGTACACTGGTTTAACGTCGTTTATTTAATCTATTTTTTTTGTTCAGGATAGCCTTATTTTCGCCTGGTCTTGACAATATAATATATCACGGTGTATTTTAGGTTTGTATTTGATAGAATAATCTGAATGCCTATGGCAAATCTTTCCGATTCGATTATCCTTTCCGTTAGATAGATATATACTTTTAATAAACCGATTTTGATGATTTTTTTATTTGAAAGCTGGTGCTTCCCATGTGGTACCGTATTAATTTATGATCATTGGTATTGGATCTTAGGCTCCGAAAATACTTGGGGAACTCCTGAAAACTAATTATAAAACGAATACAGAGCGAGATATTTGAAGTAGGTTTTATTTTATTTTTTGTTTTTATTAGCAGAATAATTTAATACTTTGTCACTTTATCTTTTAAAAAAAAAACACGTTTTAATCCTTTTCGTCTTTTGATAGCCTTGTCACTTTCTAAACAAACACACAAAGCAACCCACTAAAGGCTATTCTGAGCGACTTGCATCCACTTAGTCTTGAAGATCGACTGCCGAGGTCGCTGAAACAATTATCTATATTCTTCGCCAGTATGTCGAGCTAAGTAGGAATATTTAAACAAGGACACGCGTGTGCAAGCGGGTCTTTGCAAAATAGCCAATTACTTTTTTTATTGTTCGCGAGGAAGTTAGACGTATCAATTTTACTTGTGACAAATGAAACATTTGTTCATTTACAACAAATAGACGTTCAGTTAACTTCTGTTGATTGGGAAAATTGTATCGCGTTTCAAAGTCTCGGCTTTGAAACCAATGGGTTTTGAGATTGAGTTATCTTAATTTAATTCAGATATACATAGCGGTATCGTAGTTCTTCGGGTATAAAGTTTTTAGTTAAGTATTTTCCTTTTAAATATAACTTCTTAAGTGTATTTTCCTTTTAAATATAACTTCTTAAGTGCGTTATGCTTACACGCGTTTTTTTAAGTTAGTTTAAGTTTGTTACTTTTGGCGCGTTAGGGAAAAATGATGAGAGTAAATTTTTACGATGCGCGCG